ACATCTCTGGAAGCATCGTACTACTCAGTCGCGGCGGTTGTGGTTTTCTGGAGAAAGTCATGTGGGCACAACGAAGGGGTGCCTCCGCTCTCATTGTGGGAGACAGCCAAAAAGGAGGACCCCTCATCCAGATGTTTGCTAGGGGGGACACCTCAAATGTGACCATTCCCTCGGTCTTCACAGCACGAACCACTGCACGGATTCTGTCTTCCCTCGCCCATGTGGGGAGCTTGGTTATTGGAGATGGCGAGGATGAGGAAGCTTATCCGTTTAGGGTTCCTCAGTCCACAGATAAAAGGCGCCTGCACTCCAGCAAGGTCGAGAGCACTCGCAAGTTCCGACCGCGACACCTCAAGAGTGACCTTACTAGGGGAGGTTCGTTCTCCCCTGCCGGAACGCACTGGTTACGCAGACTTTTCGGCTGGGACGACGAGCAGACCGAAGCTGTGGATGCATCCTACTCTGAGCCCCTCGCATCAGCTGTCGGACAATACGACGATAGCCAACATCAAAGCGAAAAGGAAAACATGGTCTCGGTGCTGTTCGGTGGAACCGACGGCAAGTTGGCACACACGGCCACCGGCGACATACCGATGCCGAAACTACATGCTCCAGAGGCGGGCAGCTTGCAGGCGCACGATGGTCTATGGGTTACAATCACGCCATCAGATAACGGAACGCCCTTCTTTGATACACTCTTGGTTCTGGTCATCAGCCCGCTTGTCACATTGACATTTGTGTATGCGATCCTCATTTTGCGAGCCCGCCTTCGCCGCCGAAGATGGAGGGCTCCCAAGTCCGTCGTTGAGCAGCTTCCCGTGCGAACATATCACACGGTTGCTCCCTCGCCCATTCACACACCCAGGTCCCCCTCACCAGTATCATCTTGCCCTACGACACCCCTTCTGCAGCAGGTTTCTGATAGACCCACCGCCCTCCGCTTCCAGAGTTCTGGGGAGCTTTCGGTCTCGGAGAGCCATTTGGCCCCAACCTCTGCAGCTAACATCCCTACGCCGACCACTGCGGCGCGCTCCGAGAGAGAGAAGGCTTTGGGCAGCACTCCTAGTCAATGGAAGAAATACATGGGCCGCCAGGTCGAATGCGTGGTCTGTCTGGAGGAATATGAGAATGGAGTCAGCCAGGTTATGAGCTTGCCCTGCGGCCATGAGTTCCATGCGGACTGCATGTAAGTAAAGATGTTACGCCACGACGCACTTGCACATTGCTGACAGGTTCAAAGCACACCGTGGCTGACGACACGCCGTCGAACATGCCCCATCTGCAAAGGCGACGTTGTGCGCTCTCTCGCTCGGGGCTCATCCTCAGGGCCGACGTATGAGCCGTATCACGACGAGAGCGATGACGAGGATGCTGCTCAGGCATCGAGCTCGGGGGGGCGCGACGAAGATGTTGAACAGGGCATTCTGTCGCCGAGCCCAGGCAGACGAGAAAGCCGTGCCGAGGCCTGGCTCAACAGGCTCTCCGCCAGTTTCGGGGCCACAATTCGTACTGGTGATCCTTCGCATGAGAACAGGAGTCGGTAAAGAAGAGACATCCTCCTCTCAATATTGGCATGATCAACTCTCCAACTGAGTGTTTCATTTTCCTTTTCTTATTTTTGCGGTTTGTTTCTATGGGAATAGCTGGTTCAGCCACATCATGACATGGCGCAATGGGGGGGCCGAATACCCTGGGTCGATTCGCAAGGACAAATGATTGGGATGGAGTCTTCTGGACATGGACAAGTCCTAAGGCCAAGGAATGGATGGACTCATTGTTTTCAGCATCAGCAACTTAGAGGTGCAGCAACAAGACTTTGCGTCTTATGAATCATCGCCTTTTTTTATCCAGTTTTAGCACAACGTACGTGCTAGAGGAACCGGGAGGTTTGAAGTCAACGATGCAGGCATGTTCCAGCTGCCTCAAACGTGATTTTTCTTGTAATTTTACTCAACCTACTTAGAACTCCGGCTGCGTTGTGGTTGACCTACGCATGGGTATAAATATGTGCGCACGCGCGAGATGACCCTCCTCCTATCCCCCTGCCAGCACACACACACACGCACGTTCGCACGATAATCGAAGTAGACATGATGGTCTTTCAGATGTCGTTGTACAGGATGAATCTGGGAGTTTGCCTCTGGCACGCCATCCACGTCCAGGCGGCGCTCGGTCCGTAGCTCATCAGGAGGGCACATTCCTTCCCGTACGATGCCGGCGCGAAGACATCGGCATCGGCGCGCCGGGCCTCGGCGACCTTTTCGGGCGTGCCCAGGCGGAGGAAATGATTCCTCTGCGAGCCTGGAGGAAATATGCTACAGGTGCGTGTCAGCGACGACCCAACGTGTGCCATCGATGAGGGGAGGACTTACAGGGCATTGCCAAGGATGCCGTGGCACAAACTCGGCTCCTTGCGCAGGAGGCCGCGCTCCCAGGTCAGGGCGCGACCCTTTTCTATGGCGACGTCGATGCGTTCTCGCAGCATGGGGAAGAAGGGACGCAAGGAGAGGAGTGACAGCACGAAGCCCGGCGCGCCGTGGCACCACTGGACGAGCTCCTCGGTGGGCGAACTCGTGCGAGAGCCATCAGCGGGTTCGACGGAGGGCCAGTTGCCGTCTTCGAGCTGCATGTTGAGCAGGGAGGCCAGTCTTTCGCTCAACCTTGGCGCCAGTGGCGGCGTCGTGAGAACCAACTGGGTTATGATGCCAATATCGCCGTGGGCCGCGCCGAGGTAGCGCGATCCGGACCACAGCCAGTTGCCTTTGCCGTCATCGTCGGTGGATAGGATGCGGTTGGTCAGGAGAACGATCCAGTATTCGACCAGCGGCGCGGACTGCGAGACCCAGTGACGGATGAGACGAAGGAGGTAGAGGGCGCCTGCGCGGCCGTAGAAGAGATCTGTGGGGAACGGGTCTGCCTGACGGGACTCCGGGTGCTGGCCTTCGGTCCCTGGCGACGTAGGGCGATCGACGATGCCGGCGTCAAGCACCTGCGGTAAACTGACGAGAAAGTTTCGCACGTGTTCGAGATCTTTAGTGATGCAGGCGCGGACGGCGGCATGAGCAAGGATCTCACTCGCTATCCCGCAGTTCCCTGGCTCGAGGGCGAGATGGCCTCGCGCGCCAGAGATGTAGGCTTGCGCCCAGTGGCGCGCTGGGTACCCGTGGATATGGAGCTTGGGCAGGGAGGTTGCGACTTGAAGGAAAAGATATGCGATGCCGGTATGGCCGCTCAAGAGGCCGCTGAGCTGAGCCTTGGTGTATGTGGATTGCGGAGGAGAGGAGTTGAGGATGCGCTGAAGGGAGGACAGCAGCAGGGTTTCTGGAGATTTGAGATGGGGGAAGTCCAGTGGTGTGCTGAAATCATTGACAATGTGTCGCTGTGACATTGTGCTGCCTTGGCTTGTTGGGAGACTTGAGGTTTGCCTGGCCCACAAGAAGACGTCGATGTTAGATACCTACCTAGGTCACGATAGCTTCGACCGACTCACACCACAGAACACGATGCATGTGAGGTTGGTTTGGCGGGGCGCATTGCGGGGATGTGGAGCTGGAAAGTGCTTGTAGGGGGGCTCCTGCGGCGTGCTATGTGCTATGGAAGCTGTGGAAGGAACCAAGCTGCTTGCTTCGCTGGGCTGTGCCTGCTTTAAGAGGGGTGCACTTGCCTCCACCCAGGGGGGGAAGGAGCGGGGGAGATCCCCTAACCCACAGTGACCGGACCTGCCTAAGGCGATTTTGGCCAGGTACTCGGTACCCCGCATCTCCAGTGCTCGCTTCGAGGGTCCTAATTTCTCTCTCGTGCCATCCCATTGTTCACTTGTCGCCGCATTTCGGAATCACGGCACACCATTTAGGGGTAGACACGGGCAGTGTACGTATGGATGAATTCTATCGAATGATTGCCTTGGGCCTCTCGGAGGCCCTTTTCCTGTGACGGAAAGTCGCCTCACCTGGACACTTTGCTTTAATTTTCTTTAGGCCTCGGTCACCCTCCGCATACGGGTCGACACGCGTCAACTTGAACTTGCGAGCGGGGACCTCTTCGTGGAACAGTAGGTCTAGTTCCTCATAAGTCCTGCCCTGCGTCTCAGGCAGCCTGGGTGACGACCTTGTATCCAAACTTGGCTGATGCCCATCCGTTTATGAAACCGCCAATGATGACACAAGCATTCGGGCCGTTCTACAAACCGGCTTGCCATGCTCTGGTGAGCTGCCAGGTGTCTTGTTCGGGATACTAGATGGGTTCAGCGGGTTTCGAACACATATTCAGTGTTTTGCACACGTACGTATGAGCCGGATTTGCGCTGAAAGGTCGGGTAACCGAATTCTTTTCAACATCAAGCTGCAGCTGCAGTATTAGCTATGCTCTGTAGGAATATGAGAGTTTTAGCCGTGCCTTTGATTATAGCCCTTTATGACGATGGTTAACGAGATGATAGCTGACCAGAGCACAGCCTTCCAGTTCTCACGAAGAGCCTGGCGCAATGGTGTCTCCTGCTCCGCGGTTGTGGCAGCCTGAGCATCTCGGAGTGAGCGCAGGTTGGCCCTTGAGGTCGTCCTCATGCTCAGCCTCAGGGGATGCGTCTTGTGCGGCTTTCATCCTGTCTTCGATGTAATTCAGCTTACGATGTAGGAACACCAGGGTGCAAAACGAACAAAGTACAGCGACGCTGCTGCCGCCGTTGTCCACAGATACGAAGGTATGATGGCTTGTATAACTTGGTCGATCGGTATTGTATCAAGACACTGTCTTGATCCAGTCTGGAGATGATCATCCCCTCTTCTATCCTTCAAAGAGAGCTGCTGTCAAGGATAAGTCCGAGACAACCGTCGGATCGGACCATGCAGCGCCCGAGTCGGCGGTCAGTCTCACAGGCATATCAGGCAGGGATGCGACAGCAACGACTCCCGGCATGTTAGCTAAACAGATCCCTCCGTGGGGGCTAGATCACAGCGGATGAGCGGTTGTGTCATACATTACGACGACAATCTGTACATACAATGTTCTACTTCAGTGCACAGGTTCAACGTCTTATTCGACACGGAACGGTCTGTTGGATCTCCCATGAGTTTATCATCACGCGTGGGAACAGCTCAGGGCTGTGGATATGGTGCGTCACTTTAGGAAGCATGAAGTTTCCTAGTCTCATCGGATTGAACCTGAGCTCGAAAAAACATGATACAGTCTTCCGATGAAGTGCTACATTACTGACGAGCCCCTGCAGCTTTGGTGTGCCATCCGCATCCTATTTCTCCACCGGTAGACTAGTGAGGCATTCTGCTTTACCAGGCAAGTCGACTCCAGAGAGCGCAACTCCGCCAAGACTAGAGCAAAAGCCAGAATGACGCGGAGTCTAAAGACCTGTGGACCATCTTCCAGCACGGGCGTTGGCATAATGTATCGGCATCCTGCAGTCAGGATACCAACCGGCTACGCGAGTCGATGCGGGAGTACACGCGAGAGCTGCACCGGGCGGAGCACGAGAATGGCGATCCCCTGATGCGGCCGCTTTTCTGCGACTTCCCCGACGAAGACAAGTGCTGGCGGGCCGGGGATCAGTACATGTACGGGCCCAAGTACCTTGTCGCGCCGGTGCTGCAGGCCAAGCAGCAAACACGGGAGGTTTACTTCCCTGGGGAGGGTGTTCGCTGGAAGGACGCTGAGGGGCTGGAATATGAGGGCGGCCAGACAGCTACAGTTAAGACGCCGCTCGACACGATGCCCGTGTTTATTCGGCAATGAGCCATGCCTGATCTGGTCATGTTTCGGGAAGGGGGATGGTGGAGGATCCTCTGGGCAGAGCTCGTTTGGGATCCAGCTTGCCAGGCTTGCCTGGGAAGTGGAGGTTATGCGGGGGACATCGACCCTGGTCGTCTTGGACGTCGGGATCGGCGACCAGGATTATGGGGTGCCAGTGATGAGCTACTCCGAAATAGATGATATATGAGAGGGCGATGACCCACTGCAAAACTCGTTCAAATTCTTGAAATGGTGGGGTTGCGAGGAGTGAAATTGATGCTTTCATGTGATGGCAATGGACTGAGGGTGAGGGGTCTTAGTCTTAGGTGGCTGAAGCGGAGCATTTGGGCCGGTCCAGCCACAGATACAGGCACAGCGATAGACATCGACGTCATCAAACGCCCACTAAATGCGGAAGCTTGGCAGTCAGGCCCATCGCAGCTGCCTTTTGCACAGCTCCGGCGGCAGCTTCCTCCACTGATTGCTCCTTCCCCGTCACGGTCTCGTCACAGGAGCATACAGGTACTTTCGGACCTATTGCCCTCTCTTCCTCTTAATACCATTGAATACCTACGTCAACTCACCTCTCCTCCTTTGGCGATATACCACTTGTTGCTCATCTGCCATCAACCCCGCCACCTTTCAGCTCAGTCTCACCGAACTTCCACACGCCCCAAACACAAGCACGCGCACCATGTCCGACGAACCCAACCGCGTTGCCGAACGCGACTCGACCAACACCCAGGGTCAAGGCCAGGGTCGTAGCCGCGGTCGCATCGCCGATTCGGTCCAGGCGAGAGCCCAGGAAGTTCTGTACGTTATCCTCCCCAAACAACTGCTTGCGGGCAGCTGCCAGCTGTTCAGCATGACCTGCGAAGAGATCGCTACCTTAGCTCGCAATGTGCTGACTTGTCCTGCTTGTAGAAAGGAGGACTACGACCATGCATCCACCCTCGTAGGCGATGCCGCCAGGAGTAGGGCATACCTGTACCCCCTGAAGGTACGATACTCTTCTGGTCCATGAATCACCAGCGCCTCTGACAGCCTCTTACAGGGAATTCTCTACTTTGCGACGCACCGCTCCCTCTGGAAGCCCCTCCTCTCTCGAATTGGCCCTTACGCTCTGCTGTCCGTCAGTGTCGTCACTGGCATGTTTGTATTCACCTACGTGCCGCAGTTTGCCGTTCTCGTCCTCTTCAACGGTCCGCTTGCCGTCTTCACCACCGTTCTCCTGATTCTGAACGAGAGCTCCACCATCATCAACATGATCTCGCGCACGTACCTTCTCCAGGATGCCATCCTCGATACCTTTGACGGTACCCTGGTCGCCAGGGGTAGCGATAACATTGTCCGCGAGGGGCGACAGCTGCAACCGGGCTCAGACCCCATGCAGAAGCTGGGCAAGGTTCTGAAGAGCCCCTTTGAGCGCTTCAGCCCCAAAGCTCTCATCCGATACATCATGTATCTGCCCCTGAACTTCATTCCTGTTGTCGGCACTGTTTTGTTCGTCCTTATCCAGGCCCGAGGACGTGGCCAGATTGTCCATGGACGGGTACGTTCTTGAACTGTGTCCCCTGAATCCGGAGCGTTGCCTAACATGACGCAGTACTTTCAGCTCAAACAGTGGTCAGAGTCACAGCGGAGGGAGTGGCTGAAGAAGCACACCGGACCCTACACAGCGTACGTTTGCCCGCCTGAGCACGCCTTGCTTGCCTACTCACACCACACAGATTCGGTCTTGTTGCCACAGCCCTCGAACTGATTCCCTTTGCTTCCATGTTTTTCACTTTCACCAACTCAGGTAAGTTACATATGTCCCCTGGACTCCAGTCATTTCATTGCTGACGGCATCCCCTCTACAGTCGGTGCGGCTCTGTGGGCTGCCGATATCGAGACAAAGGGCACATCCATGACGGACAGCACCGCTCCCACCCTTCGCGAGACCGCCAAGAAAGCCGAGTAGAGGAACCACAGAGGCTAGGAACATGATGACGTTAGCTGATTGAGAGCTCCACTCCTTGACGCTCCACAGTGGCAATAGCAACTAGCTCGTGGCTCATCAGCAGTTGCCCGTCTCGCCTAGCGGCAGATAGGTCTCACAGCATTTTGACAGCAACGGATTGAGCTCGTGCTCTCTTTTCAAGATACTGGGGGCTGCCCCGGGCATATCGCTACGAGGAGTTTACGCTGAGAGTGGGAGGTAATTTTGATTTCTGCAAGTGCATGAGGAGCATGGTGGTTAGTTTTGAGACCCCGTAGATGAAGTGTCTTGACCTCTTATAGTGTGCAATTCTTTACAAGTAGCAATGTGTTTCGTCGTGAACTGTCTCATCCTGCGACCAGGACTCTTATGCTTGGCGGATGGGCATTTCGATGAAGCAAAGGACGATAGCGTTGAGAGCACAGTTTCTTCCGGCACCCCCTTGCAAGCCACGTCAATGAACCTAGGCAGGCTATTGTACGGTCTTCTAGGGTGCGATATCTCCCTCCTCGCATACACTCGCACAAGTCAACAGTTTTGCACCTTGCTCGCCAAGCCGATGCCTGACTTTACCAGGTCATTTTCCCTCTTTCATGGAAAAGAACTCGGTCTCTTTGTCCGCTCAGTTGAGCTCGGCGACTACAAGTTGAATGTGTGTGTTCGTGTAAGCTCATATGTTGCCTCCACGGCCCGTGTGACTTTGTTGCTCTCGCCAGGAACAGGGTGTCATCTTGCGGCGGGACGTTGCATGTGCCCCTGGCGTCCGCGGCATCTCGCCGTGCACAACTGTACACTTGCGCACCGTCTGTGCTATCGTGACATCTCGGTAGGCCGAGAGGCAAGGGCCTGGTGTCATGTATTCGAGCGGCGACGGGGCCCGAGGATGGGATGGGAAATGACGAGGTGGTGCTTGGACGACGTGTCAGGCGAGCTCGGAAAGGGTTCCTCAGCTATGCACGGCGAAATCTCGTCGTAGCTCGGGAGCCGTGCCGGTTCAATTTGCCTTCTTTTTCTCGTTCCAAACTTGATGGCCGCCCGTGATCTGCAGACAGGCGTCGAAGACGCTCCCTGGCATGTTTTCGTCGCGCATCGTCCCTTCTCCGGACGGGCTTCATATGTGATGGGACGGGCCCGACGGGCAGAATATGATTCCAAGCAGACGGATAGTGGTCATCGTGCAAGGAGGATATGTGCTTGGATCTGGACTCGCCTGTCTTTCTCTCTTTCTTCGGCTGCCCGCCCCCTCAGTCGAGGAACGGGGCAAAGCTGTCGGGCGTGTCACCAAGTCTTACTTTGACGGGGAACCTGTCCACACCATGGGCAGCTTGAAGCTATGGGTGGACATGGTCTGCTCTGCCCCTATCTGATGGTGTGCCGAGGCAATCGGGGTTTTGGGCCTGCACCTATATCTGCCAACTTATCCTCGCCGTCTTCCCTTTGACGGCCTCTGCCTGCTGTTCTTCCTCCTTGCGGGATCCCCTTTGCATTTCATGACAACGCCCTCCTTTCGACTCTCGTTCTCTCTCACTTTTCTGGATTTCGCAGGCACTGCTGATCTTAGTCATTCTTTTCGCTTTTTCCTTTCTGTTTTTGAGCACTTGACATCACATAACTGTCGGTTCCCTGATGAAGACTGCATCATCTACGCAGCCCGATCAAGGCAGCCGAGTTCTTTCGAAAAGAACACAGACACGCCAGCACAAGGGTTCTCATCATGAGGGTCTGCTCTCTGGTTCGAAGACTCCTTTTAGTTGCGGTGCTGGTGCCCGTGCCCCTCTTCGTGTCCGCTCGCCATGATGCCTTGGGCCACAGGCTTCGAGAACGTGATGCGCCAGCACCAGGTCTCGATGTGAAGCAACCCAGGGCTAGGGCCATCGAGGAAAACGCGAAGGGAACAGTGGAGGAATACCAGCAATATAGCTGGGGCTATGGGTATGGATACCCTCCTGATGAGGCCGAGGCTACATCAACAGAGGAAACTTCCGAGGAGGGAACGCCTGCCACCAGCAAGGAAGGTCGGTAGAGCCTCCACCTCCCAACTCATGACGAGCATTGCTGATCGGACGCTTAGCACCCTCAGCAGACGGCTCGTCTGGTGGTACGCGTGGGACACTTGCCGCTAACAACACATCATTCATGTCTGGTCTCACGTCGGGCGCCTCCAAGACGTTCTTCTCCGGAAGCCAGTCGTCTACCGGGCCGACGGAAGTCACTGGAAGCTCAGGGTCTCCCTCTGAAAACCCGGACAGCTCGACGACAGATGGTCCTTATCCGCCAGAGATGTCAGAGACTACAAGCCCGGCTGGTAATGGCATATACCCCCCACAATCCTCTTCCAAGTCCGCGTTGTCGAACGTCTTTTCAGGGAGTTCGTCCAGCAGGTCTTCCTCAGGACCCGCCAGCATCTCCAGCAGTGTCGAGCTGCCTGAGCCAAGTTTGACGGGCCTCAACAGCTCTGCCACTGCGTTGCCCTCCCAAGAGTCGACGACGGACACATCTCTGTCCCCTTTCAACAACTCCACGATGAGCATGTCTAGGCCACTCGGGTCTATCACGCCCGGCCTCATGTCGCCTCCTGTGCTGTCGGCGTCGGCTTTCCCAACATGGACTGCCACGCCGTCAAGCATCTCTGTCACAGCCACTCCAATATCAGGGGCGATCTCGCCCCCTGCCTCGAGCAGTCTCATGTCGACGTTGAGCGTTCCTAGCAATGCAACGGTGCCTGTCGGTACCCCCTCAACGCCAGGACCATCTTCTGAAGCAATCCCGTCAAGTTTCCCGCCAGCACAAAATGCTACAGGTATCTCATCGGCGATGACCTCGGCGTCTATACCTTTCAACACTACTGGAGGTCTGACGGCTCCAAGTTCAGGGACAGCCGCCGGCGAGATCAGCGGTACTATCCTACCTGATTCGTCATCAACAAGCTCCTCCGAGATGGTAGCAAGTTCGAGTGGACTCGCCAACATTACTGTCCCGGGCATGTCTTCCCAAAGTGCCACCCTTTCATCTGTTGTTTCGGGTTCGTCCTCCGCTGTTGGAACTCCCCCCACAACCGGCAATGAGACAGCGTCCAGCCAGCCGTTGATTCCAGGCATTGCCTCCACAACGAGACCTTCATCCTCGGCGACCCTTGTTAGTGGTTCTGTCGCGGGCAGTACAGCTGCAACTGGCGTCAGCTCGAGCACCATTGGCACGACCAAGATGATCGGCTCCTCAACGACAGGTGGTGCTCCATTTCCATCAACAAACGCCACCATCACCACAAGCCAGTCATCCGGCTCGCGCAACACTACGGATAGTCCGACTCTACAGCCTGGCTCGGCCGGTGAGAGTTCCTCATCAGCCACATCGAACATCCTGAGTGGCTCGATGTCTACTTTCACAGACTCAAGCTCCAGAGCGCAACAGACAATGAATGCAACCAGCAGCACCAACGTGGCTTCCGAACCTGTGACGTTCTCCTCGTCGCCCCCTTTTCCCACCTCGAACAATATAACGACTGTGATCACAGGGACGGTGACCATACCAACTGCGCCAGCATCGCCTTCCAACTCAACCGTGATGACCATCCCACCGGCATCAACTGGTACACCACTGTCGTCAGCACTAGCGAACTCATCATATCCCCCTGGCGTCCTCAACACCACGACAGCCTCGGTGCCGGCATCCCTGACTGCGAGCGTTTTTCCCAGCCTGTCCAATGGCACCTCGGCCGCTCCCAGCAGTGGCGCGGTGGCGGGCGTCTCATCCTCACCCAGTAGCTTCGTACCAACGCCTAGTTCTCTACCTCCGCCGGCGACCCCTTTCCCCTTCCCGAACGCGACGAGTTCGGTATCAAGCGTGACGGTACTCCCAAGCACGGCAACCGCGCAGAACACTTCAGCGCCCGTTCCTTCAAGTACCATTCCTTACACTTCTCAGTTTCTGCACAACACCACCAAAGTGGGTCAGTCGCAGAATATCACTTCTGTGCTGCCCACAATGGTCACCGGATCATCAACGCAGACTCTTGCCCCTAGCCCGGCGAGTTCGTCGGCACCGTTCCCCCTTTCGAACAGTACTGCGTCAGGCACCATCGCTGGGACGGGTCTCAGCACTGTCGAAGCGAGTGCTTCGACAACTTTGTCGCCCTCTCTCAGCCCCATGAGCTCGACGAGGTTCTCTCCTTCGAATGCCAGCCTTTCGGATGCGACAGTGAGCACCAGCATCAGTGCGACGAATGCAAGTGCTCCAACATCCACGGCCTTGTCACCATTGCCGTCTGCAGAGACGCCTTTCCCGTTCCCGAACGCGACCTCCACGACGTCTGGTCCAGGTCCTGGCGTGGGTTCACCGAACGCTAGCACATCAGCAACCAGCATTCCCTTGTCGATGACCCCTGGAGCGACCCCCTTCCCAATGCCCAATTCCACCGTCTCGGGGTCACGTACCATTGCAGGCACGGGGACAAGCATGGCAAATATGACGGTGCCGACCTCAGTCTTGTCCAGCACAACTAAAACTGCCCTGACCCAGTCAGTGACGTCTCCGTTGTCCAACAATACTCTCTCCAACTCAGTCGCAGGCACGGGCCTCAGCTCACTGAACATGAGCCCATCGTCCACAACAGGAGTCGGTGTTCCCACGCCTTCGAACCTGACACCGTTCCCGCTGCCCAATGCTACCAGTTCAGGCGGTGTCAGTGGTACCGGCGTCGGCACGCCAAACACGATTGTGCCAACGCCGCTGCCTCTTCCGAATGCGACGAGTACAAGCGTGCCAACGAGCGCTGGGAACCTGACGATTCTGCCGATTTCCAGTCTTTCTGGCGCTATCGTGACGACTTTCACTCCAACGGTCGTGCCAACGGGGACACCGCTGTTCCCTACGGCAAACAGCACTGTCCTGTCCAATGCGACCTCACTTGAGCCGGACGAGACGAATACGCTCTTCCAAGGTGAAGAATCGTCTTCGTCACCGGGTCCATCGCTCAATATAACATCCACGGGCAGCGCTCCAAGCGTCGGGAATAGCACGATGACGCCGCAACCATCTGCGCCTACCGCTTCGCCTCCCTGGCCGGTGACAGCGAATCAGACGACGACCTCTTCAGGCCCACCTGCAGGCTCAACGACCAGCGGTAACTCTAATTCAACTCTCGCAGCAGGTAGCACAAGTCTGAGTTCAGGATCGGTTCTGCTGCCAACGGAGGCTACAGGAACAGGATCGAACGAGCCGTCGGGCACGTTGGTCTCCACCGGTTCATCGAGGGCCAACGACACGATCACGGCCAATCCAGCGGTGACCTCGCCTTGCGCCACCATTACCATAACCAATGGCACAGTAACGCAGATCATCACAAAGACCGTGATGGCGCCTGACGAGTCGGCCTCCCGGGCGGGGAGTTGGTCTTCCGAGGTTGCGTCGCTGACGGTCAGCAAGGCGCCGTGCAACTCGACGACCAGAGCAGGACCATGGACGAGCTGCACGTCAAGACCGCTCTGGGCCAATTCCACGTCGTCGACAAGCTTCACGACAGTGGCCTCGTCACCAGGTCTTGCGTCGTTCGACTCGAGCGGATCGGTGCCTGAGACCATCGAAACTTGTAAGTAGAGACGAACGAACACACAACGTGGTCCTTGTGAGAAGTACCGGCTGACACACCCTGTTCGTTAGCAACATTGGTGCCCACCTTTGACCTCACGACCTTCACGACCTCGACCATGAGCAGCGAGGATCCCGATCCTCCGCAGGGCACGCCCACGACGACAGAAACGGACGAGCCCCTGCCCTCCAGTCCCAATTACCCCTGGGGCGGGCTGGGTCCTCTGCACCGGCACCAGAATGTGACCAGCGTGGGTCGGGGGCAGGAGTCGGAGTTGGAGGACGAAGCAGCGGTTGCGTCGGTCGTAGCTAGAGGCGCGTGGTGGTCGAGGTGGAGGACGCACTTGGACAGATTGCAGAGCCGATGGCGGAAGACCTGAGATGACCCCGACGAGGGAGATGGTGCTGTAGAATGAATGATGAATTCCTCGTGTCGCAAGAGGGTGCAGGCTTTACCTGCTGGGAACAACGCGTCTGACGCGTTGCTGTTTGGGGTGCGGAGGGTTCATCGTGAGCCTGCTTACTCATCACGTGGGTAAGGTGACTTGGGTTGGTGGAGAGGAAGCTGCCGCCTGGAAGTGGCCGCCTAGAAATGATCCTGCTATTCAATGCTCGCTACGACTGATCAAAATCACAAAAGTCCGTGGAAATCAATCAGCGCGTGTGTCATTCTGTCATTTATCATAAATACTATAAAAACATGGTTAATATCCAATATCAATCGCACGCCTCAAGCTTGAGCTCGCAACACGACTCGGTGACGATCATCTTCCCCGACTCCGGTTGACTTGTGCTCCTATTCAAGGGCGGCACCTCAGTCTCGGCAGGCACAGATTCCAGGTCGCAATCAGGCAGAGGCACGAGAGCTGCCAGGCGTCCTGAGCAATCCTTGCATCCTTGGCAGAGAATCTCGGGCACCTCTCCATCGAACAGCTCTTCACGAAAGACGTAATAGTCTCGGTAGTACTTCCACTCCTGCAGGAACTCGACCCAGTATACAAGCTGCTCGACGACCCCAGCAGTCCCGGAGACGCTCTGATATCCAGTCCGGCATCTGTCCCCGTAGAGGACGATGTCGATGATGAAGATGATGATGACGACGGCGACGACGACGACCCCGCGGGAGCCGTCTGGCCTCCAATCTCGAGACCACGCGCCCTAGCCGCATGCCAGGCGGCCAAGAGCTCTGGTCGCAAGTCGCTGGCCCGCTCTGTCGTGTAGTACACAAACTCAGCGGGCCGGCCCGTCGTCTTGTAGTACGGTATCGCGCCCCATTCCACAACGGCGCGCTGCGTCTGGTCCGGCTTGTCCTTGTCAGGCGTCGATACGTGCACGACGCGGACGGTGCAGCGCGTGCACTTGGGCTGGGCCAGAAACGTGGGCACAATGGTGGCCAATGGCGGGGTCCTCGTCCGTGGATGAAGAGGTGCCGACTGCGTCCTGGGCTGCTTCGGCCTGGACGCTCTCCGGGGCGGACTTGACGATGGCGATGGCAGCGTCATGTCTAGCGGTGACCGCTAGACTTTGTTGGGCCTCTGGCCTTGCCCCACAAGTGCCCGACGAGCTCTTCGATTTCTTGTCCTTCTTGTCAGTCATTTGCTCAGGCATGTACGGTCTGCCTCACGGAGCGCCTTCTTACGATCTGCCCGACTTGGTCTACAACACAGAGCAGGTAAAGCAACTGCAGTCTTCTTGTTGGATCGCTTGGTCCTCCTGAGCGGGGACTCGATTGTGGAGCGTGAAGCGAAGCGTGGAGCGTGGAGCGTGGAGCGAAGCGTGGAGCGTGGAGCAGGGGAGCGCCGGGAGTGCGGAAGCACGGGAACGATGGCAAGGGGGGCCTTGGCGGAGCGTAAGAAGCCAGAGAGCACGACGCCAGAGAGCACGACGCAAACAGTTGGGCGACACAGACGCGAAGAGGGCAGGTTTATTCCAACCGTTATAGGCCAGGGAAGCCGATACTAAAAGACGGTTTCTTCATCGCCGCCGGCTGCGATCGACTGCAGCTCGCCCTCCTGCAGGCCATCACCCCGACCCTCGGTCACGCATCTCGGTCCACATACCTCGCAGCCACAGTGCAGCCCATGTCTGGCCACTCCGAGGTCCAAGGCACGCAGACCGGTCAACCAGGGCCAAGCAACAGACGCAACAGATGCAACAGACGTGTCGCCGGCACCTGGAGAAGCCAGCACGAGGAAGGTGTGCCTTGTCCTCGACAGCAGATTGACAGGGGTTAAAGGCACGCTACCGACGACAGGCCTTTCTTTTTCTACTTCACCGACACTGCAGTGCTACATTGGACACTCCCTTCCCGCCTCTCTCTTTTCTTCCTCATTGCTTTCTCCTTCATCCAACAATGCCTGCGAGCGAAAGACTCAGACACGGAACACCAGGTTGCCACGCCCCCCCACCCCCCGCGTCCCCCCCTCCCCTCCCCCGCCAGAGAAACGAACTTGACCCCAGCAATGTCGACCTCAGCCTGTCTCACATGGCGTCCTTATCTCCCCTGAAGTTCCGAGTTCTGAGTTCTGGGAGGCCTGGACGCCAAAAAGCCAACAAGTGAGCAAATCTAGCAGCCAAGGATGGACGGTACCAGGGCATATTCCTTGCCTCGCCATCGAAATGCTGGTTGCCTTGGTATATCGGTCGTACCATGCAAGTACCGGCCCCCCCCCGGGGGCCTTGCCAGACGCTCATGCGGCCTGTCCAAGCCTGTCTCACATCACTGGTCCTGGCGCCTGCAAGGTAAGCCAGAGCAGAAATCTAGACCGCGGCACAGGACCATCAGCTGACACTCGTGGCAGACGCCTGCCTTGTTGCTTTTCCTCCCCCGGAATGATGACGGCCATCCCCTCAGGCTCACGCATTTCTATCATGTGCAATTCAGACCGCAGTCATATGCCACTACGGTCGCCTCCTTAACCGGCCTAGTCCAGCAGCCAACGGCCCTTTGGATCCTCGAATCTCGATAACTCCCGATTCCCCGCCCGCGCGCTAGACCGGACCGACAACGTCTTGGCGGCCCGTCCGACGGACCATCCCATCCCTTCTTCCTTTCCATCCTGCTTCCTTGCCACCCCCCCCCTTCTCCGTGCCGATACCAACCACACCAGCCCGGTCGAACCCCCTGCACAGCATCCACTGCAGATGATGTGACCGATGAATGGGGGTTTGTCTTTGGTGTGCTCCGCTCTGTCCCGTTCAATAATAGGTGCCTGCGCTGACTGACCGGTCGAACCCGAAGACCAGGCGAGTGGTATTCGTGTCTGTGACAATTCCGTCTTGCCCCCCGGTGCAGTAGTGCGCTTGGCCAGTTTAACGCCTGCCGTTCCTCTCTCTCTCCACCACCCTAAGCCACATAGCATTCCTACTTTTCACTTACTCATCAACAGACTTGCCGACGGGGTTTGAACAGTCCCCGTCCCCGACCATGTTGGCATAATCTCGAATACGGGCTGAGGCTTGTTGGCTCCATCAGAGGCGGATTGGACGTCTCTCTCCTGACACGAAAGGCACAGGCCCTGGGTACGCCGTTGCTATTGGTGCTTGAGTGGCCGTAGACGTGTCCAATCGCTTCAACTTTTTGAACTTCTTCACATCTCAAGGTGACAAGCGCATTCAATCCAGTGCCAATGCGTCCAAGTAGCTTTCACAGCAACAATAGGTAGTGAATGGACGCCAGGTCTCCGCCTCCTTGCAGAGCACCAACAGTCTTTTCTCCCTCGTATGAGACAGGGCGCGCTGCGCTCCTCCCTCGATGATGCCAGGGGCGCTCGCCGTCGACGCATAATCGCCGACAAGGCTCGGGAAAAAGCAAAGAGGTGATTATCCACCACCCCCCAAATTCCTCCCACGGTGCTCAGATAGTATATTGTCCAAGGGCGGCGGCGAATCGAACACGCCCTGGTGGACAACACGCACACAAGCCTCCGGACCGTTGCCAGCCTGGGCGCCCCTCCCCTACTTGGCACAAGTCCCATCCAGACTATCCTTGTTTTTTTACTCAACAGTCCCGTGCCTGTGGCCACTGTCTCATATCCGTCACTTTTCACTGCCGCCTCGAGGACGTCCAACGCTACCCTGGCAAGCCTGGATCGTCATTCTCCTGCTGCCCGTGGAGGAATCGCCTTGTCGCCCAGGCGAATCTTATTTGACGACGCCAAGTGACACAGTCCGGCGGTTCAGTTCCGCAATCTCAGACCTTGTAGTCAAAGCACGACATACAAAGTCCCGAATGTCCTCGCCCACCTGCCTTCTCCACTGGCTTCCTCATGAGAGGGCATCAATCTTCGTTCAGAGCTTCCGAACGCTTCTTTCTCCACATCAAACCCATATCTGTTGACCTCGCATCGTCACCTGTCTGCACTCACAACCACCACTACTGCTCGTCAGATTTCCACATAACACATCAAGCGTCGCCTGCACAGAGCATTCGTCGCTCACCAAGCAAAGCCGCCACCACCACCACATTTCCCCTCCCACGCCTTTTCGAAACTATTCAGCATGTGTGAATGGTACCGCCGCGAATTCGGCTGTCGCCACTACCTCATCGGCGCCGCATCGTGGTGTCCCGACTACAGCCGCACCGGCCGCCGCTGTGAGGTCCGCGTTGGGCACATCGACTACTCTGCCGGCGACTGTACCGGGTGCTCCAACCGCCGCACTGCAGAGTCTGTTCCCTGGGAACACATGATCAACCGCTCTCGCTGCGGGTGGCCTGAGAGCAGACTCACTGGCAAGGTCTTGCCTTAGTGCGGGCCGCCGCCCCATCTCCATGGAGAGATGACGACCACGTCATGACGGAGTGGACATGGACTGTCAATATCTATCTGAAACTCTCCTCATAGGAGGTAGAGTTGGTTTCCTTTTTTTTTTTTTTTTTTTTCCAAGGGGTTGCTACGCCCATCGTCTTTCTATGGTCTGGATATCGGGAATCATGATCGGGGCGTTCTGGGTATTGCTTCTTAGAGCAACCTGGGCTATCAAACGCCCTCCTGGGACGGAACAGTATGGCTGCTTCAGTGTGTTTCCAGGGTTTATTTTTCTTTCTTACTGACGACTTTCTTTCTCGTGTGCCGTCCTTCCATCCTCGTCCTCTTTCGGAGACTCTGGATCGTACAACGTTGGCAACTGGGGGGAACTTGGGGTTCAGGATATGGGATATGGGATATGGGGTATGGGATATGGGATATGGGATATGGGATATGGGATATGGGATATGGGATATGGGATATGGGATTTTTTTTCTTGGTAGCTGCAACATATACCAACTTGTCGTCTAAGGGTCGCGGCCAAGGCATAAATTGCCTGAAGGGAGAAAAGACGCCTATCGTTTATGTATCACACAGGGCGTGAGGAGGACTCGTTCCTCCGGCCCATGACCCCCGATGCTGGGCTTCGGGGCTCAGTATAGATAAATATCGCCCAGCAGGTATACACACACATTCACTCACTCACACGGTCATCTCGCGTTTTTCAAAATGGTCCTCTTGACTGGATGTTGTAAACGCACGAGCTGGTTACACGGACGCGGGTGATGACAGGTTGTCGATTCGCCGCGGGCATGGCCAATGTGTACGACCAACACACGATTGCATCGCCTTCGACCCGTGGTTCTGGTACAAGATAGAGTGACACGGCATGACAGGAAATGGTGCTCGAAGCATGCAGCCGCCCGACAAGGCTGCGGACGAGTTCACGCCGCGTTGAGCATCAATCAGGTGAGGATTCAGAGATGCGGCCCAGCCTTGGGGCCAAGGTTTCTGGCCTCAGAACAAGGGTATGTAAGTTCATGGACAGGTAGTTTCTTCGGCATGTTTGCTGCAGTCATAGAGACAATTCATGGGTTTCTCGTCTAAAGCCAAGACGTCGAATACGAAGTCCGCTCACCTACTAATTGGGTGTCCAGAGACTAACTGGGTGTCCAGAGACGAACGTCAGACAGAACCTATGTAATATGCCTGGGTTCATTGCGCTAGTATACTCCAGCCAACGTGAACCACAACATGCTCTGTAGAATGGGATAATCTCTCGATCGAAGCAAAATGGACAAAAAGATTGGGCGCCATCCGGGGATTGAACCCGGGACCTCTCGCAAGCTGTGCTTCAGGGTGTGACCCTAAGCGAGAATCATACCACTAGACCAACGGCGCGTTTAGAACAAATCCCTGACTGAGTCAGGAGCCGGTCGATGGAAACCGAGATCTGGAGTATGGTATATGTAGCTTGGTCAACTGATCAGCGACGTCTCCGACAGCATGTTCACCAATCTGGTTCCGATGTCTGTACCAAGTCTAGTTGACGGCTTGAGATTCTTATGCGGGCTTAATCAGGCGTCCAGAACAATGGATGTTGAGATCGATAACATTGAGTGGTCATGCCTGGCTGGTCATTTGGCCTTTAGCTGTCTAGACATCGCCACAATCCTGCAATCACGGTGAGGAACAAACTAAGGAGTACATATCCAGTAAGGGAGCAGAATTGACTGCAAGGCAGTAAGGTTTCATTTTTGGGCACTGAAACGCATTTTATCTGAGGATGGGCCGTCATTCATATCTCTCCGTATTCAGGCGGTCGCTTCCAGTTTTCCTAGGTAGGTGGCATGGTCAGCCTCTCTGCAAAACCCACTTCAGCCCCTTGACCATTGCTTCCTCAGCTTCTACCGCCCGTGGTAGAGCCGGCGCCTTGAGCCAGAATGTATGAGGCCATCCCTCCACGACGTCTACTTCCACCTCGACTCCCGCCTCCTTCAGAGCTATGGCATAGCAGACGCCGTCGGAGTAGAGCGTGTCGTTCGCGCAGACCTGCACCCATGTCCTGCCGAGCCCGCGGAGCTCATGTACGCTGGCCTCCAGCGGCATCCGCTCCAGGCCATCTCGAACCTCCTCGCGCCTAAACACACCGAGCAGCACATTCGCAAAGCACTCGGTGGCGCTCGTGTACGCCGGCCGCAGCCTTTCCGGGACGTGCTCGATATTGCTGCCGCCGTCGCTCGTTACAGGGCATCGGAGCACGGTGCCAGTGAGTGGTCTCTCCAGCACCAACTGCTGCACGCTTGTGGCCAGCACGCCGCCGCTAGAGGACCCGACGACCACGAGCTTCACGTCAGACGGTACGAGCTTGATGATGGCACGGATGGCGTCCACACCGTCTGAGATGCATGTCGATGCCGGGTGCTTTGGCATCAGTCTGTAACCAACAGAGTAAACGGTGCTGTTCTCGACGTCTTTGACGATGCGTCGGCACGAGAGCTCTTCGCTGTCCGCCTCGCCGACATAAAGGCCGCCACCGTGGTAATATATGACGATCACCTTGGGATCAGCCACTCGGGTGTGTTTGAATTGAAGGATAGGGATCTCATAGTTGTCTAGTGAGGAAGGTGTGGTGCTGTGCGTCGTCGTGATGTCTTCAGAGAGGCGGTGGAATGGAGCACCCTGGGCCATGAGCTTTGCGTGGAGTTGGCGACATTCTTCTGCGTAAACGGGCTGACGCTCGACAGGCGACGCGTAGACCTTCTTGGGCGCCTTCAGGTTCGCATCGTCTTCGTATTGAAGCCATGCTGCATCTAGTGGCGGTGGAGACGAAAGGACGAGGCAAGAGAAGTGATCCATGCTGAGGATGTGTGGTGCTTGTGCCTAGGCGATCAAAACCAAGGGAGCGTTACTGCTGTATAAGAGGTCCTCAAACCTTGTCAGGTTGCATGGATGTTGATAAACGCCAATGTCAACAACGGCTCACTTGAGTTGTTTAGTTGACTTCGCGGCTAGGAATTTCGCACCAACGGCAGTCTGCCATTTAGCCGGATATCCGGGACCTAGGCGGTAGCCCGAGATCTTGGGATGCCCTTTCTCGCGGGCGCAATAGCCATTCCCGCGGTCTTCATCCGCCCCCCGTTCATTGACTTATAACTGAGTGACAGACTATGCGGTGGTGGTGTTTGGCTTCCTGTAGATTGTCAATCGAGCGATCATAGCAGAACCGGACCTTCCGGATATCCTTGTCATTCCACATTTCGTTACAACCATCACAGTGACAACGAGTGTTGTACGGGAGCATGCAATTGTGAGGACGGCGTAATTATGATTGATTCCCCTTCTTAGGACATCCGCTCTCTTATTTACCATGCTACAGTACACAAAGGGAATCGGGTAACAGTCGCATCGTTTACAGCACAGAGAGATCGCCGAACTTCTCCTAAAGGGGGCGTTAACAATGTCGAGAAACAGTGGCCATGTTGATTCGAAACGTACCTTGTATCCCGGCACGGACCAGCGGCCCTTGGCAACGAGCTCGGCAGTCTTCTTCTCAACCTCGGGCACGGCCTTGTTGAAGTCGTCCTGCGCGCACATTTCATCAGTAACCCCTTCTTTGGCTTCGGAGATGCTGGCGCCTCGTGAAAACATACAACCGTGATGTCCTCGAACGGCCTGGCGGTCTCAATGTTGGACAGGGTCTTCTCGAGATCCTTCAGCTCGAGGCCGACCTTCTCCTTGGTGGCCTCGGCGTTCTTGACGGCCTCGACCTCGAAGGCCTCGATGGCCTTGAGCTGGCGAGAGACGTCGTAGGCAGCGGGCTTGTGGGCAGTGAAGCGCTTCTCAATCTCGTCGACAACAGCCTGGTTCTTGAGGACGGAGCGGTAGTGCGCAAAGTCGACGGCGGTGGGAAGCTCGGAAAGCTGCTGGACCTTGCGGCGGGCGTCCTCGTTGCGCTTCTTGAAGGCCTGGAGAGAGGCGACGGTCTGGCCCCGAAGGTTGAGGGAGCTGGTGACCTTAGCCCAGTCGAGCTTGAGCGCTGCGCTTCGCTGTTCGGGTAGGAGGAGAAATTAGCTCAGTATTCATCGAGGCGCGTCGGCGAGGCCAATCGATATCCACATGACAGAATCGTCGATCCTCGTATCAATTGCCAAGTTCATGAACAAATGCGACTTACTGCGGCCATCTTGAAGGATTGTTGGGGGGATTGCGAGGGTTGCGTAGGGAATGGCTTCTGTCGTGAGGTTGGCTGCTAGATCGACTTTGCCGAAGAGCGGGAAAGATCCGGACGACACCCAGTCACGTGACGTAGCCTCCCGATTTCCTACCTTGAAGTCACGTGCGAGTATCCATCCCAGCCATTGATTGTATGCGAGCCTATTCAGGTGATCAATTACATGTCGCGGTCTGGCAACAATTCTGATCTCGCGTTATCCTTTTCATAGGTTATGGGCGCAATCAAGCCGAAGAGCAAGTAAACAAGCGACGCACGGGAGATCAAGAGTTGGTTCGGGTTTGGCTTGAAGCGAACGACAGCCGCTTATAACCTTTTGGTTTCTCGCGACTGCCTTCCAGATGAATGAATTTTGGTTGTCGTCAGACTCCCTAGGCATGGTCTATGTCCTACCCATTCGTCCTCTCTGTTACGCTCATGCATCATGAGAACAAAAGCCTTCAACAATCATTTCTCCTCCACCCCATGGCAGCGTCCGTTAGATACTCAGCGCCATGATGGAGTTGACGATATCGTTGTCGTTTTCCTTCAGGGCCTTGATGGCCTTGTTCCGGCTCACGCTAGCCTGGGTCATGACCAGCTCGATGTCCTTGTCCTCAATGCCGGTCGCGTCGACCTCCTCCTCGTCATCCTCCTCCTCCTCCTCGTCCTTCTTGCCCTCGGCAGCGGTGGCCTTGCTGGACTCGCCGTGGCTGTGGCCGGCGTGGTCGTGGTCGGCACCGCCGGCGGCGGCGAGCTGCTGGGCAGCGGCCTGCTGGGCGGAGGCGTTGAGGTCCTCGATCTTAGCCTCACCAAAGACACTGTTGTGGGTTAGCTCTGTGCGCGGGAATCGGCATTCTTCAAGTCACTCACATGTAGGTGTTGCTGTTGGGGGACTTGTAGACCTCGGGGCTGTTGATGACGAACAGGATCTGCAAGGAACAGTCAGCATGCCTTGGTCGCAAAAATGAACAAACACCGGCTGAGCGCATCGACGTACGTTCTTGGGGCGACGGAGAGTGACACGGGTGATGCCCTCAATCTTGGTCAGGTGCAGCTTCTCGAGGAGCTTGCGGGCCTTCTTCTCGTTGCGAGACTGAACGAGAGTGGTGGAGCTGCCGGAAGGAATCTCGCCCTCGACCTCCTCATCAGAGCTCTCGTCATCCTCGACCTCCTCAATCTGGGTCTTCTTGACCTCCTCGTCGGGAAGCTCTTCAACGCGGGGGTTCGCCATTGTGTCGGTGTAGGGACTGCGTCGGTGGTGGTAAAGAGTCAGCCTCGTGAGCTTTGGGCAAATCGCAAACGGTGATTTGGTGGGCTCGGATCCAAGCCGGTTGCTGGCGCGGGCAAGAGAAATTTCGCCATGGCTCCCGCAACACGTCCGATCAAGCCCACCTCGTCGAGAATTTGAGAATCGATTGAATTGGTGGGATTTACTCACGGAGGATAGGGATTCAAGGATACGTCACTGCTCTGTTTCGAATTCTCGCTCTTCGTTGTGGTGAGGAAGCAACTTGGTAGCAAGGGAAATCTGCCCGTCTCGGGAACCCTAACGGATGAGTAAGCCACCTTAGGTAAGTTTGTCCTCCAAACGAGATGCGGGGACCCGCTCTTGCCCACCCCCCTTCAGTGGTCCAATCGAGGAATTGCGGGTGCAATTCTCAGAGGCGGGCGAAACTGGTGGTCAGGGAAAAAATTGCGGAGCATCTGGATCCAACTGGCTTCACGTGTGCCATCGCTTTGTGGTTGAAAGGGGACGTCATTTCTTAGGATAAGGTAGGTATGTCATGGATGCGCGACGCCGCAGCGTCTGTGCAATGGTTTGCCATGAAGTTCATTTTTGTCTCTGATTTCCGTATCGACGCCGAATCATCTTGATGATGAATGTGACATACAGCCCGTCCAGTACGGAGCAAAAAGAGAACGCAGCAAGCCACATGCTGCCCTTATGATGCAGTCCAGTCCGGGTTTCCATGCCGTTCCACGCTCTAAAACCAGCCTTCTCCGTTTGTGTCGTCCCCCATCCCCATCCTTCTCAAGACCTCGAAGCGCAGGTCATGATGCGCTTATGCCGCGGCCTTGACCTTGGCGAGAGACTTGCGCTCCTCGAAGCGGCGCTGCTTCTTGAGGCGGAGAACCTTGAAGCGGTCGAAGTCGGTCAGGTTCTTCCTCCGCTCGATCTGAGTGCGGCGCTTGAACCAGCTGGTCTCCTTCCACTTCTTGTCGATCTCGGAAGCCTCCCAGGCCTTCTTCAGGGTGCCGTGGCGGGCGCCGCGGGGGAGCTTGGCGACAGTCAGGGAAGAGAGAAGGGCGGCGGAGAGAGGAAGCGCTTGGCGGGGAACAGCGAGCTCGGGGTCTGAGGAGGGTCCGTCGACCAGAACCTGCAGGTGCGCGATGTGTTAGTCTTTTTCGTGCCTTCGCAGCCGGAGACGTTTCACACGACTCCTCCAAGGATTGAAATCGGATTTCCAACATACGCGCTTGTGGTCGATGATCTCGACGATAGCGGCGAGGCGGCCCGCGTACGGGTGGTTGCCCTCAATGAGGACGACGCGGCCGACCTCGACCAGGCGCCACTTGGATCCCTCGATGGTAGCGTCACCCATTTTGATGTCGATCTGGTTGCTGATGTTAGAATGTCGAGGGGTCGAAGCGAGTGTTGTTATTCGTGAGGGTGTTGTTGCTTACCCGAAGTCCGTATCAAAGTACTTGGTGGTGGTTGTCGATGTGGAAAGGTTCACTTCGCTGCCACAGAACCTGGAAAGTCGCTTGGAGTAAATTGGCGTGTGGGCGAAAAACCCAGGGCCCTACTGACTCCACTTTGTGGCCAGCCGTGGTGGGAAGGACGCAGTGGTGGCCGGCTGTATTTCGGGAAAACAAACACCCCTGCGCCGTGACACAAGAAGACTAGCGGTTCTGCATCCCGTCAACGGGCCGGAGAGGTCCACCCAGCAACAGGCGGAAATTTCTCTGGGCTTCTGCCAGCATAAATTCTGCGCCTGCGCTGTCTGTCTCTTTCACGAGGCTTCACTCATCACCATCCGTCGAAGACTGCTTCAGCCTGCGCCCTAACTCGCCTGAAGCTTAGAGGGTCTTCGACGGAAGAAGCTTGATTGGTACGTTATTCACCCATTTTACCCGTTCCCTTTCCGCAAGACTCAATGATGATGCAAATTTGCGATTGATTTCAGTCGATGGCTCTCTTTCGCCGGAGTGGCTATATCGGCTGAATACATGATATTCAATTCTTACATATTCTGATATGTCTTTCTTCATACCTACTCATCTATCATCACTCGTGTGGTCGATGGAGGCTAATGGCGTTTAGTTTCTTCCAATCCTTCTTCAACAGAACCGTCCCCTGGTAGCATTACTTTGGCAGGCATATATCGAAGTGAAGCAAGGCTAGGAAGGAGGTGCACATGATCTACAGTTTCAATCAATCAAATGGGCCGCAAATATGACCACTCTCAGCCGTCACAAGTGAATTGCAGGTGTTCAAATGTCAATTAACGCTATTGTCGTACCACGGAACACTGTCGTTGCTCTTTAATTAGGCCTTGCCCTTGCGCTCCAGCTCAGCCTGCTCCTCTGCCTCGATCTGGGCGTCAATCTTGGCGCCCCTGGAGGGCTCGTTGCCGTGCGCCTTGGCCTAATGAATATGTCAGCTAGGCATGCCCAGAGACAATCGGGGATAACTTACGGGCAGGGTCGGGTCGATCTTGTGCAGCCTTGTCTCCTCGCTATCATCATTGCCGTCCTTCTGCTCCTCAGCTGCCAGCTTGTTGGCAATGGTACGCTCGTCCTCTGTTCATTTCGTTAGCAATGAGATAGACCGTGGAGACAACAGAAACGTACTGGAGTCAAGCTGGTTGTGCGCGTGCTCCTTGCCCTCGTGGAAGCGCTCAGGCTGCTCCTGCTCGCTCTCAGGGACGTTCCTCTGATCTCCGGCGTGGGCGACGTTCATATTGACGGTCTGTGGATTTTTCCTGGAGAGGTAAAAGAAAAAAAAAAAAAGAAAGGGGGGTGTTTCCGTTGATTTGAAGAGATCAATGAGGTTGTAATGATGATGTGAAAGGATGCTTGGTGGTTGTCTTGATGTCTTATAAAGACTCGAGATCTCTGAGATCGCGATCTTCCCCACTAGTTACTTCACTCTACGTCATCTACGGATTTGCTCCACGACAGAGACCAAAAGTCAGTGAATTGACGAAACAGCGCCTCAATTGGGCAGCTAGAGTTCTGGAACGCCTTTGGCACCCGTTCCTTCCCCAGGCATCACAGGCCTAGGTGCGCATGTACGTCATCGATTGCTCATAATGGAGACTCCATCAAAGGTGAGCACTCAGTAGGTAGTAGCTGTGGCGCTACGACGTCGCACATTCACTACCTACGCCATGTAGCTTACTGCCGGTGACGGAGTTTGAGTGATGCAGAGTGCGTTGCTTCAGGAACTGTCCCATTTCTTTACTATGTTCAGGACCTAGCTTGCAGACCGAATTCGTGAAACTGAGAATTAGCTACTTGCTCTCTACCGCTGCAGCAAATATCTCGTAAGGCTGGTCCCTTCCTAGCTCGACGGTGGGCCCACTTCCACGACGAAATAGGTGGCCTGGAGGAATCGAAATAGTCTTCGAATGTCCTGCAGAACTCGAATTGGAGAACTGATCCATCGTACTGTACCGAATCACTGGTGTTTCTTCTCATTTGGTCGGGTTGCTCAACAATCACACCACAGTCAGCGATCATTATGACCTTTTAGCGCCAGCACCCCTCCCTACAGCTAAGCGACATTTGCCGCGGTGACAGGGATCATGATGTAATCCTCGTGGAGCTCCGAGCTCCACTACCGACGACGCAAGAAACACCGTGAACTTGTTGTTCAACATTCCGAGCTTCAATTAGCTTCCTTCGCATCGTCAACACCGCCAACATGTTCCGTTTCGTAGGTGCAGACACCATCATGTACCCCATCATGGATGCGCTAACTTCTCTCGCAGCATAAGACTCTCGACATCATCACTCTCTTCCACAAGGCTGGCGCGCCAGCTTCGCAGAGGGTTGCAACAATCCTCAAGCAAGCTTCCGCCAATGCCACGGCCAGTGCAACCGAGGACCAGGCCAGCGATCACACTGCTCAGACTCATCCCAAGCGTACCGAGTTCGAGCTCAACATCACCGAGGATCTTCCCACTGCCGACCAGGTCAAGACCATTCTCGAATATGTTGGCCCCAGCAAGGTGTCCAGCATCATCAGCGGTGCTGCCAACGAGAGCGAAGCCCTGAAGAAATTCAAGCTGGACAGCAACACCTTCCAGAGGCCTGTGGTAAGTTCTCTTAAATGACTCTAGCACTGCTGCGAACTATGACTGACTCTCGCAGGTTGTGGATTGGAACAACGGCCGCGCCACGGCCGACAGCAACGAGTCCGAGATCCTTAAACTGGTGAATGCGCTCAACAAGGGCAACTAAAACCGCTTCATTGATATACCCTCTCGCTCTTTGTACCATATAAACTTGTCCACTCATCAATGGCACGCTGTAATACAAAGCAACTGAGCCTCGTGCTGTCTGACCATTCAATCATACATGTGACACCATCAACTCATGATACTGCGCCTTTGACAACGATAACTTGGCTTCTATTCTTCAGTACTGGACATTCATGGCCCATTTTGTCTAAGGTTAAAAGCACTCATCAATGTACTAGCTTGGTACAAGGTCGTCGCGTTGGACTGCGCACTTGCTACGAGTATGTCTGTGGCTGTAGTCTGTCCCAGTCCATCCTTATTTACCTCGCTTCATGTTCAAATGAAGAGTCAAGAAATGCAAGAAAACGCTAGGGAGAGGCCTAGAGAACCCATGAGCTAGTGTTAGTGCACAATGAGCCAACTTGGTTCTTCGTCTAAGTACACTGCAGTCTCGCGCTGGGCAATTAACACTCGTATGCATGCCTAAGTAGTATCCTTGTCGATCAAGGGGCCTGTTCTTCTATATTCACTTTGTTTCGTGTGGGATCCAGATGCATTGAATGATCTTGAATGAGTGAATGCCAGTGAATTGGCGAGAGATTGTGGGTACAATTGCAGGAGCAGTGAATCTCCGCGCAAAAGTGGTAGGGACATTTCACTCTTCTGCCTGATAGCTTAGTTACGCACCTTCCAGCCGAATCTCTTCATTTCCCTTCCAGACCACTGCTGTCTCTCCATGCAAGCTCCCCGCCGCTTTCTGCCTTGAGAATTTTTGGGCTGCCCATAACTTGAATCTTCCCCTCCTGCCTCTCAAGCAACCTCAACCTCAGAACCGCAACTCAGGTCTTGCGGTAACCTTACTCCCCCTCATCACAAAACACCAGAGCATTATACTTCTTCTTCCGAGACGTGTTCCTTGCTACTACACTATCCTCATCGCCTCCACTCCCTCCCACCTCTGGCTTTCCGTGTCTCTGAGCGCCAGCCGTCATCATCATAACACAGCCAGATATACCGGTCCCTTATCACCAGCTACCGCATATTTTGTGACAGCAAGAATTACTTGCAAGGCACGAAATCATTCCTGTGTCGCATGTGAGTCGCACTCTTTCTCAACTGGAAATCTTGGTCTTTGAGTCTTTTTAACGCACCTCTTTGATGTAACTCCTTCCTTCCGTTTCAACAAGTGTAACAAGTTCATGATACTCAAAGAAGGAAAGAATCGACATTTCTCGTTGATATTGTTTCGTTGATTCAAATAGCTGAACGTCTACCTATTTCTCGGCTGTTTTTTCGCCTAGATGTGTACATTCCTTACATCTCTTTTGTTCAACTGTCGAAGTTTGGCACGAAAAGATTGTTGTCTGACCACTTGCTCTAGTCCATACCCATCATGACTGGTGAAGCCATGATCGATGGCAAAGGGCTGCCAGTCTCTCAGGCTGATGGCCAGGAGACCAGAGTCGGCTGCGCCGACTGGGCTACCGCCTACCCAAGCGGCATTCCACTGAACTACAACATGGCCCATCACGTCGGCGAGGAATACCCCAAGTTCTACATCGAGAGCTATCTCCCAATGATGTTCTACACTGAGCCCCCCGAGGACCTCAAAGCCATCTTCAGCACCAAGAATGGCCAGCTCAAGCCCCGCCGGCTGGAGCACGTCCTGCCCCGGCGCGAACTGAAGCTGTGGGACGCCGAAAAGATTCAGAATACGGCCAACTCTGTCCGTAAGAAGTTTTGGGCCAACATGCGCAGCATGCCTGAGCCCAAGGCTTGGGCGGATCTGTATGACTACTTTGACGCCCACGACATCTACTACGAAGGCGCCCTCAACCTCTGGAACCTCATCTGCCAGCTCTGGCAGGAAAACCAGAATCTCCTGCCTGACCTCTACCGGACCATGTCTTGTGAAATTAGTATCTGGGCCGACGAGTGGCTGGAGCAGCCCGGTCACAAGGAGGCTTTACTCGCCTGGGATGCCGAGGAGACGATCGACATTCTCAATATCCTGTCCAATGAGGAGATGAAGGATCTTCGAGGCGTCAACGCAGTCGACCTGGTTCTGGCTCGAGCAACTCTGGTTCACTGCCGTGACCAGTTGAAGAAGATCGAGTCGTCACTCCCTCAGCCGTACCCGGGCAACAGTCTGAAGGATAACTGGGCAGAGGTCAACAAGTGGCTTGGTAAGTGACTCCTTGCCCCACATTGATTTAACAATGTTGATATTGGTAAACTGACTGTGAAACCAACAGCTGGCCAGCCTGTTGGCAAGACCACCAGTGGCTTATTCAGATCCCAGGATCGTCCTGTCATTGTTTGCAGCTCCATGTACAAAGACCAGGCCACCTCCATAGACGCACCGATTTCTGATGCTGTACCCGCCACCGGAGAGCTTGCTGGGCTCCTCGGCGAAAGTGCCGCTGACGGTGTCCCCAAAGGTGAAAGTCAGCCTCAGCAGAGCCAGGATCTCGTGGGTCATCACCAGGCCACACATGAGCCTGGAACCAACCTGGAGTCGTCTTTGGCTGATGCCTCTCCACGGAAATCGTCCAAGTCCGTCACCGACGCAGGCAAGAACGACGACAAGACTCCTCGTGCCGGCAGAATCGGAGCTCAGAAGAAAGCCAACGTCTCTCCTTCTGTGGCAAAGACTCAACACCACGAGTCTCTTGGCTTGCCAACTGGCACAGTCATGGGGGGTGGCTATGTCAACTCTCTCCAGATGGGCTCTGGCATGAATTTGAACAACCCGGGTCTTGTTTATAACGGGACACAGTTCTTCCGGCCCTTTGACAGCATTGCCTTCCAGTCTGTTGGTGCCGACTTCTCCATGATGGGCAAACAACAGTCGCCTATGGAATTCTATCCACAGCCGCCGGGCTTCAGCCATGCGTCCGAAATGGGCACGGCCAAGAACATGAATCCCATGTTCAAGATGCCAAAGAACAGCACCAGAGCTGCTGATGAGTTCTGTAACCCTGACAGCCAGCGCCTCTCATCACTTAATCCTCCTCGCCAACGCTCGAACACGAACACAACGATCACTTCTTCCCACAGGGCTTACACGGGCACCCCTGTGCAGTCCAACAACGCATGCAACTTCCGGAACAACGACTCTCGTGGTTTTCACAGCGGCGCAAACATCCATGGTGGATGGATCCAGGATGGGAACCACGATCTCCATGGTCCGACTCACCGTCGCAGCCCTCAAAAGCACAATGGTCATGCACAGGGCCTAGGACGTCAGCGTGCCTGGCCCAAGGTGCCTTCAAATGGAACTCCGTGTCCCAATGCCGGTCCGAGCGACACGTACTGGGACTATATCCCTTGCAACTGCTCCATTTGCGAGACCCGCAACCGTTCCGTGCACATTTCCTTCAAACCCCAGCTGCAAACCTCCATTCCTGATGCAGAAATCAGGGAGACCATCCATCGCGAGATGGCTCGCTACGGAGAGGTTGAGCATGTCTTCCCATATAAGAAGGCTGTTGGATCCGCCTTGGCCTACACAGCTCGGTAAGCACCTCAGCGGTGTGGAACCTGGCCAAGATAACTGACGCTGACACTGACATGCCTGACAGATTCAAATCCGCTGCTCGCATCATGGAAGCGGCCAACGCCCCCAACATTGTGTGCCGAGAGCTATCCTGTAACATTGTCACGAGTGCCCCTTATCGGTCAGACTACGGTGCTGAATGGGCTCGAATGAACGGCTCTCAGCTGCTCCACGGCGGCAACGGCCGTCGTAACTCCTTCACGCAGCGGAATGCCGTTTACGGAGGGCAGCGTCCCCGGCTGATGTCCAATGCCACGGTCACGTCTCAAGGTTCGCCTCGCCGTGCCTCTGGCAGCACGCCCTCGGCGACGAGTTCCGTCATGATGCATCAGCTTGCTTTGCCCCCCAACTACTTCACGCCTGGCATTGGAAACAACGGCAGCTTCTTCCCTCCGCAGGCCGCCACCGGTGCGGGTGCTATAGCATCCATGGGTCCTGTCCTCCCCGTGGGGAAGATTGCCCAGTCTCCTGCTCAACAATACCATCCATGGTATCATGCGCAGGCCCCTGGGGTTTCAATGCCGCCTTGTCCCGCCGTTCCTGAGTCTGGTGCTCGCGCCAGACAGGACACTGAGAAGGGGGCTGCAAGCATTGCTCCCAAGGACAAGGCACAGCGCCGCCCTGAACTGTCTGGAGCCGGCAATCTTCCCGGAATCAAGCTTCAAGGCGAGCATGTTGACGTTGCCACTGATACGGTCAGAACTCTAAGCAAGGCCTGCACGGTTCGCTTGCCTCGGAGCCCAGAACAGACGTCGGAGGATGCCACGTCGAAGAAGATGGATGCTGGTCGCCGTGAAGCCACCCAGAAGGCCAAATTCTTTGCCAGCAACGATGCCAAGAACGACATTGGCAGCGCTGGTGTTGGGACGCCCCAGGCCGCCACGGAAGAGGTCGCCGCCCCGACTACCTATGCATCTATGCTCAAGATCGGCAGCAACCAGCCTTCTCCTGTCAAGATGTTTGACCAGGGTTCTGTAGGCTCATCTGCCGCGCAGACTCCCACCAAGGTCACTACCCCTCGTCCCAGTGAGAGGGCCCCGATTGCACAGGCAGACGATCCCTTCGTCAGCACTTCTACTAACCCGTCGGAGGCCCATGTCGGGCCCTTGGCAACGACCTCTGATGAAAAGGGAAAGCCGAAGTCGTTGACCACGGTTACTTCTGAACCTTCTGGCCGCCGATGGCGTCAGAGTGAAATCTCCGATGAGGGCGAAGGCGACGAACCCATTGTCGCCAGGAGCTGCAGTCAACAGCAGGCTGGTACACAGCAAGAGGGGTCTTCGAGCATACCGCGCAACTTCTCCAAGTCTTCTGTCACACCTAATGGAAAGTCCAGCAAGAAGAAAACCTCGAAGAGGAAGAAGAAGATGACTGGTGGAGACGTGCTCACAACCGGTGCCATTCAGCATCCTGGCGTCGACTCTGCTGGCAACACCAAGCTCATCTCCGCCACCTCGCCTGAGCGCATCGGACATCAACCCGACGAGCATCTCCTTTCGCCGTCCAAGAGGACGAGCAAAGAAAGCCCGGCGTCCCAGTCGCCGTCCAAGCGACTACAGGATGACAGCAACAAAGAGGTTTGCCAACATGATACTACTGGCCATCCTGATATCACTGTCACTCCTGTCGATGCCGATTCTTCTTCAGGTACCCAGGCACACCCGGAGGCTGTTGATTCAGTTCATGCCGCCGATGGTCCAGAAAAGCCCAAGGCTCTCAACATTCACGTGCCCGACTCGTCATTGGAGCTTCCAGTCGCTTCGTCCCCGGCCACCGTAGACGGAAGCAGCGTCGCAGAGTCGTGGCACTCGGCCAAGTCTCGCCAGACCAGCGTCGAGTCCCTCAAAGCTGGGAATAAGTTGCGCGACTCGGCCAACCAGCCCAGCACGCCCCCGGGGTCGAGCTGTGGAGACGCCTCGTCCACGCCTCGACGTGTTGTCAGCGCTGGAAGTGCTCTCAACCCCAAGGCTCGCGAGTTTGCTTCGCCCGCCGGGGGTCTCCTCAAACGAGCGTCAGCGGTTGACCTCCGCGGCCTCGTCCCCCTGGGCCTGGGAGCCCAGCATCGCGTCTATCACCAGCAGCACCGGCATCAGGACAGCATCGTCTCCGACACGTCGTCCCACACCGCCACGCCGGGCTGCACTCCTAAGAACACAAAGGGCCACAATCGTGGGAACAACGAGAGGGACGAGTCTATCTCGCCTCCACCCGGGGCGAAGCCTTCATTCGCGCTCCGCCCGGCCGCCGTTTCATACGCGCCGTCAACGCGCGCTGCTTCGCCCCCGGGCAACGCCTTCTCCGCGCAGCATGCGTCCATTGAGGAGCAACTCAACCACACGCGCCACTATGAGGGCGGCAAAAAGGTTTATCAGCCAGGTCTGGACTCGCAGAGCCAGCCAGGTCTGGACACGCAGAGCCAGCCTGGTGTGGACACGCAGAGCCAGCCAGGTCTGAACACGCAGAGCCAGCCTGATGTGGACACTCAGAGCCAGCCAGGTCATGTCGAGCATCCAGATGTCATGCCCCTTGATGCCATCTCCACTGAGAAATCCCACACCAACAGCGCCACCTGTTCAGACGTTGCTCGGTCGCGTCAGCCGAAGCATAAGAAGTCCAAGGTCTGGAACAACAACAACAACAAGAAGAACAAGAAGGCTCAGCACGACCAGAACCGAAACCAGAGCCAGCACCAGAAGACCCAGCAGGCCCACCCAGACTAGCAGCAGGGACCCTCGGGCTCTTCCGGCAACGGCAAGGCCAAGCGCGGCGAAAAGGTCTCCGAAGGCACAACTGACAGCGTAAGCGGCCCCAGCCTGGGAGCTGCCGAGTTTCCAGCGCTGCCGTCTCCTTCCAAGGACGACGCTGACGCGACCAAGGGCTTGACGGCTTTTGGCGCGCTGACCAAATTGACCTCGCCTCTCAAGTCGGCCATGAGCAAGCTGACGTCGGGTGGTGTTCCAAAGGGCGAAGGAACGGGCTCGCTGCCTGCCAAGCAGAAGGATGTCGATGACTCGTCTGCTGGTAAGGAGGACAGCAAGCAGTAGGATGATGCTCCGAGGTCTTTCTGCGACCTGATTTGAGCGCATGGTCGCTGGAGCCAAGGCTGTCTGGCCGGACGTGCATTCGGGGACAGTTGTTTGCGAGCGGCAATACCGCCATAAGAGCGTTGAGCTGTGCTTGCTTGCTTGCTTCTGTGCCGTGGCCAGATAACGGAATCGCAAGGGGTTGAGAAGACGATGGATGCAGACGCGCTGTGCATGTGCGTGGATCCTTTCGTAGTGAGAGCTTCTAGGTTAAGAACTTTGATAGTGAATCAACTGGATCAAGGGTAAGATGTCGATATTCTGCAGTGATATGCCAGCGTTTGGGTGCGAAACATGGAATGACCGAAGCCTGCATCGCCATGGGATGCAATCCTCGACAAGTAAACGGTACCAGTCAGTCTATTCAGCCGGTAATGTACAGAGGTGCGCTGTCGGCCTCGTCTTCCTCCCTGCTAGCAAACGTGACCAACACTCTACGCCGTGGTCCTGACCAGCCCAGTCACGGTCTCCTCGATCTGCTTGTCGGACAGGCCCTCGAGGCTCTGCGACTTCTCGACGCCGTATTCTACACCGACATGTCAGCGGGCTTGTTCGGTTTTGTTCTCGTCGTCTGAGGGTGGTTTCGAGGCGTGTGCTAACCGTATCGCGCAAACACCTTGGGCAGGGTGCCGGCCGCTTCGCGCAGCATGATGGGGGTCTGAGGGTTGTGCTTCTTCATGGTGGGGTATGTCCTCGTGAGGAAAGACCTGGCCGAGGAAACGAGAGGTCAGAATGGAGGACGATGGGCCGGCGGTAGAGGAGGGTTGCTTGCATACCTGGTCGCGGCGCTGTGCTCGGAGGTCTGGCAGAAGAGGAAGCGCACCTCCTTGAGGGCCGTGGTGAAAGCGTACTTGCCAGACATGATCGCTGGCGTGTGGCGGCGTAGGTTCAAGCGGGTGTGGTGGTTCAATGGCTCAGCAAGGGTATCTTGTTGTGGTTGCTCAATCGGGGGGGGTGGATGGAAGCTCTGGCGTTGAGGATTGACGAAAGTTGACGATTCACATTGCTCGGATTACCCACCTCGTGCATAACCCGCTTTAGACGCTGATGCATGGAAATTGCACAACTGCTCGGGGGCTGCACAACTGCTCGGGGGCTGCACAACTGCTCGGGGGCTGCACAAAAGGGTCTCGGAAGCCATCCCGTTATCGCTGGCTCGTTGGCTGGCGCTTGTTTCCGGTTAACTCCGCCCAACGCCAATCCAATTCCTCCAACAAGATCCTCCACACGTCAAAAGTTGCCCGCCCAGGATCGGAGCTTTTGGGTTAGACGAACAACCGCTCTCCCAACGTCGTGACAATCGCACCTAAACGTCCATCTCCGCTCTCTCCCGCCCGCCCCGACCGCCGCTCTACAAGACAACCTCTTCAACGACTGCGATCTCCGAACCACGCTGCTTGTCGACCCTCCTTCGACCCTTAGGTACTCAACAGAAATCCATCCCAAGACTCCCTCCACACCAACGGACGGCAAGATGGCCCCCACGACCAACATCCTCCGCGCCTCGCGGCCCATCTTCCAGCGGCAAATGTTCACCGGTGCCGCCGGCGCCCGTACCCGCGCCGCCTTCCAGAACCCCGCCTTCCGCGCGAGGATCTTCCGCGAGGGTTCTAAGCGCTGGCAGAGCGCCGACGCCGGCGCCGAGAGCCAGGCTCAGCAGAGCTGGTTCAAGCGCATGTGGGACAGCCCCATTGGCTTGAAGACGGTGCACTTCTGGGCGCCCGTCATGAAGGTACGACGGGGCTTTCTTCTCTCCGTGTTGTTCCTTGTATTCCCATGAGACTGCGTAGCATACAGCCCCCAGAAGTTTCGGCAGAGCTCTGTGCCGTGGGGACTGCTGGACGTGGATAGGCATGCAGCAACTACCAAGATGCGCGGGAAACGGGATACGCCCGGAAGGTGCCAGACAGACAGAGCATCCGTGCTAACCGCGACCATAGTGGGCAATCGTCATCGCCGGCATCTCCGACTTCTTCCGCCCCGCCGAGAAGCTCTCCCTGACCCAGAACGGCGCCCTCACAGCGACGGGCCTCATCTGGACCCGTTGGTGCTTGATCATCAAGCCCCGCAACATCCTGTAAGTGCTCTCTGCGCCGTCTGTCCACGACGCCGCGAGCGAGCATCTCCCCTCTGACCTGTCTCGCAGCCTCGCCACCGTCAACTTCTTCATGGGCATCGTCGGCATCATCCAGGTCACCCGCATCCTGATGTACGAGCAGTCCAAGAAGGGCTCCGTCGCCGGCGTCGTCGAGGACCTCAAGCAGGACGTCAAGGACAACGTCCCCAACCCCATCAAGGACAGCACCTCCAGCCCCTCGTCCTAGAGGGCGGCATACACTCACCAACCGACACATGTCTGTACGATGACTGGGCCGTGGTAGACTTGGCTGCGGGGGAATGGCCTGGGCTACGCGAGGCGCGCGCCCGAGGCGTACAGGGGAGGAGAAGCGAGTGGTCTGGGTCGTGCGAGGCGATTTAGAGCACCGACTTTCGACGAGGAATGAGAGGGCTGGATCAGGAGATTTGCCTGGCATCGACAGCGTTTTCTTCTCCTTCTCGAAGACGTCTTTTTTTCTTTACTTCGCGCTGGTCAGGTGGACCGATTGAGGAGGCGGGCTAGAGGATAGACGTTCTGCAGGCACTGCCTGGCAGGCTATTCTTGTAAAGTAGCGTCGCTAGAGCGCCGTAAATGATTATCTGACTTGGGAATCCGGCGTGAACACAACCTCGTCTGTCGGTCTTGACTAGTTGCTACGAGTTGTCAAGGCTACGGGTATTGGATGTCCTGTAGTCTTGGAATTAGAGAGCATATTTCGTAGATCCATCAGGCGAACTGGAACGTCGTATGGCAGGCAAACAGGAATCGTGTGCAAGCACGGTTGGTGCAGGACTGAGAATCATGGGATGCGTCCCTGATGAAGCTGATTGCGCGAGAGAATCAATTTTCGAGGCCACCGTGTACCATTGACGTTACTTCGACTGAAATGCCTATTGTTACAAATCGAGGCATGAGGCAAGCTATACCTCTCAATGCCAGTGACCATGTCCAAGTCGTCTATTTAACGATATAGTCATGTGAGTTCTGCGTATTAGAGCAAGTACCTATCATCCCCAGGCCCATGCGGTTGCTCGCAGAACTCAAAGTCAGGAACCACCTCAGTGCTACATGATGCCGACATTGCCTGATACCTGACATGGCTGCATTGGCCACTCCTCCCTCCGACGGCGATCGTCATCTTGGACCAGCCACCAACCTCATTAACTCGACCTGAATACAGACAGGTCCCTGCTCGTCAATCTCCTTGGACTCGCCGTCGATTGTGAAATATAGAGCCTGTCCTGGCTCTGCCGGTCCGCCAAGCTCCATGTATGCAGCTGATCGCTTCTCGAGGTAGTACAAGTCCAACCATTTGTTGCATGCCCTTTACTCGTTTGCATTGCTCATTAGCATTGGGCAATTATTATCTAGCGCACGTTGTTCGTTCCACGTGAGAGGAGGCAGCCCGGCTGCAGCTCCGCACATCCGTATGTCTGTTTCTGTGCTTTGTGCCAGTTCATCGAAACACTGGAGCCGTTAGTCGGTGCTGATTGCAATTATGTCCAGGCCAAAAACTCACCCTCCTGTTGGTTACCCATCTTGCTCCGCGACACACGCTCGCGCTGTCGGGGTCCTGCTTTGCCATTGCCGACTCTCTTCAGATCCTCTAGTCGCTCACGCGCTTTGGGGAAATCTTGGGCTGCAAAGAATAGTCGGTCAGTTACCGACTATCACGTCTCAGGGTCACCATACTTACCGGCTGCACGCCAGTACCAGCGCTTTGCATCCTCCAAGTTCGCTGGCGCACCAATGCCCACCTCGGTAAAGTAACCCATGGCATACTCAGCCTTGGCCAAGCCCGCGATCGCGGCCTTCCGCGCCCATAGGTATGCTTCGGTGTCGCTCTGCTGGAGAACTCCCTCGCTTCCGGTCAGGTACCAGCCACTCAGGGCCAACTCGGCCTGATGCTCTTCCTGGGTGGCAGCCTTGGAATACCACATGATGGACTGTCTTGGGTCGACGGGGCAGCCCATGAGTCCGTACTCATACACGCAGCCAAGGCGGAACTGGGAAAACTTGTAACCCAGCTCTGCCGCCTGCTGGAATAGTTGCAGTGCATATGTCTCATCCTTGACAATCGCATCGTTCGGCCCGGCTGATTCGTAGAGCAAGCCAAGTTCGTGAAGCGCATGTGGGTTCTCAGGGTCGGCGCGCTCGGCAGCGCGCTTGAGCCAGCCTACCGCCTCCCGCGGGTTCTTCTGCTGGCCGAGCAGACCCTTGAGCAGTATCATGCCCACCTTGTACATGGCAGGCGTGTCGCCGAGCGTTGCAGCTCTCTTGTACCACTGTATCGCCTTCAACGGGTCACGCCTCGTGCCGCCACCATCTTCATTGCCAATTTCGCAACACACAGCTGTCCTGTACGCAGCAGCGGCGTGCCCGAGCTTGGCGGCCGATTGGTACAAGGTGAAAGCCTCTTTGTTCTCCGGCTCAGCACTGAACAAGCCACGTCCGAGTGAGTCGGCGTACAGAAACATTGCATCGAGGTTCTGGGCGTTCGATAACTTCTTCAGGATTTTGCTCGCGTCCATCAGGTATCGTTCCCGTGCGCGGCCTCGGCCTCGTTGGTCGGCAATCTTGGCAACAAGCACATCAGCCGCTTCGATAAGTCGTTTGGCCAGTCGTAGAGCAGATTCTTGGTCGTTGGGGTCGTTCTTGATGACCATGCGTAGGTGCTCGAGCTCCTCGTTTGTTACGGGTGGTTGGGCTGCTTTGGTCGAGGCGGGCGTTCCAGAATTCCGTTGCGGTTCGGGAGGAGCTTGTTGTTGTGGGCCGGCCATCGGGCTTTGCGATGTGCCATTGTAGTTGCGCACTGGCATCGGTCGGTCGTTCACGTTCATGGCGGAGCCTGCCATGTGCCCGGGACGCACTGGCGCTGGATGGTGAGGCAAGGTTTCCGATCGCTGGGGCGCGGGGCCATTCGGTAGACCAGATCTCACCGGGACTGGCCCGCCCGCACCCGACTGATGTTCCCAACCATTCTGATCATATGAATCCTGGAAAGGGCCATGCCGTGCGCCGTTGATCGGAGGCATGGGAGGCGCATCGCCTACCATCTCGAACACAGCCGCTTGGGGTTGCCTCAAATTTGGTTGGGATTTCATGCCCCTGAGGTCCGGTGTGCGCCCTGGCCCGGGTTGTGGTCCTGACGGCATTCCAGGGTGTCTCTGATGGTCAAGAGACCCGCGGGCCCTGCCGGGTTCTTCAAAACTGGGAGCTCCCGAGTTTACGAATGGCGGGTTTCGAGTATACTCCGGGTTGCTCATCCGCGAGGGAGTGTAATACGAATCGAGAACGTCACCAACTACTTCTTGGTGATCGCCCCCGTAATAGCCCTGGTCACCGTTATCGTAGCCCCCGTAGCCCCCCGCAGACTGCGGGACCTCTTGGACCGGCGGGTACATGCGTTGAGGGGGTGGCCGGTGACTTTGCGACGTCGCCGGCCTTGCTGACGGTGGCAGCCCTCGGTCAGGCGCTGTATTGTACGGCATTGTTCCCGTACGTTGAAGAGGCCCCCGAGCCATGGGATCAACGTTTGTCGGCATTGTCATACTGCGACCTGGCGGGCCGAATTCGTTGGCTGGCGGAGGAGCCCCATATGCGTCGTCTCGGTATTTGGCGCCAAACTGGGGTGCTGGAGCTGGGCCTCGACGCGAATTCTCATATTGTTGGTAGCCTCGGGGAGGACCTCTGGCATCCATGGGAGGCCGGCCATAATCGCCCTCAGAAGATCGCATCTGACTACGCTGGGCACCACTGCCTCCGGGAGGAGGCCCGTTTCGCGGCCCTGCGATGTCCATACCGGCCATCTGGCTGATCATATCTGACTCTTGTTCAAAATCTGCCCGGCGCTGATGGCCAGGGAAAACCGGAAAGGCGCCGCCGAATCCTCCAACCGTGTCAGGACTGATTTGGCCTGCATCCAAAGAGGGTCGCTGGCGGCTCGCTGATCATTGTCAGTACGGTAAGCAGCTTAAACATGCGTATGCTGTACTCACATGCCGGGTCAGAGTTCGCCGAACGCTCATACTGCATCGGCCTGCCACCTCTTGCCGGTGGACCATTTGCAAAGCCTCTGCCAGGGCCAGGAGGGCCGCCTCGAGGAGGGAGAGGGGCGCTTCTTGCAGAGTCAGCGGTTGGGGGCCTCGCCATCGGACCACCCCGTCCCATCGGCGGCCGGCCTCCACGCCCAGGGCCAGGGCCAGGGCCAGGGCCGTATCGATCTTGGGGAGGATATTGCTGGTTCGGTGGAGGGCCACGACCATAGCCCTGGTCGTGATGGTGCTGCCCGCCATAGTTCTGACCATAACCACCATTGTCATATTGATCATATGCATAGTTGTCCTGGTAGCCGTCGTATTGCTGCTGAGGCGCATCGTAGTGTTGGGGAGGGCCTTGATGATAGGCTTCGAGAGGTGGACCTGGCCGTTGCGCTCCAGGGCCAGGGTAAGGCCGCTGCGCCGGATAACCGCCCTCGTACGCCATTGCTTCCTTGCACCGCTTGAAAACAGCCGGTGTTCAAAGTGTTGAAGGCCTTGTTGGTAGGAAGAAGGGGGAGGCTCGAATGCGATTCGAGTGGACCCTCACCCCACGTGCTTCCTTTGCGCAGTCGCGGTTTCGATCCCAAGTGCAAAATTATTGTCCTGGACGGGGTTCAACCGGAAAAGAAATAAAGGATGAGGTTGTCGTGGTCCAGAAATATATCCAAACCAACGCCTGGCTATGTTGTGGTGCCGGCGTGCCGAGGCCTCGATGTCCAAAGCCCTGCGGTCAGGGAATGCGTTTGGGGTTGGTTCGGTGCGTTGGTCGTTTCTCAGAAGGGCAGGTCGCGCGGCATTTGGTCTTTGCTGCTGATTCCCTGAATGCCGCTCCGGACACACTTTGACGCAAGGAAAGTGAAGGGAGAAATGGGACGAGGTACAGTCGCTGCTGCTCGTTCGAGTTTGTGTTGGCCCTGTTTGAAACACTGGGATGGCGACGCTCCGTGTCTACCGGCTGGGGGGCTGAAGGGAGGGGGGTTCGAGGTCGGAAGGGAAAGCCACCTGTTGCCACAGACGAAGGGCGCTGGCGGCGGGGGGGTCGAGGAGTCGATCAGGGGTGGGAATGAGCTTTCTGAAGAGTGGCCCAGACTCTGGCCACGCAGAAACTCGGATGTCGCTGTGCGAGTCGAGTGTGAAGGGAGAGATTGGCTTGTGTGGCCTGGTGTGGCCGTTGCAAAGGCCCTTTGCTGATTTGTACTGTATGTGGTCTCTGGACAACTGCGGACGGCCAAACCCACCCTGAACCTCGGGGACCATGTGAGCATAAGGAAATGGGAGGTGAGGAGCAGAGAAGGCCCCTTCCCCCCCTGCCACCTTCCGTCGAAAGATGTGGGTGCTACTGGTCCCTGGAACGCCCCAGCCGTTAACAGACTAGCAGAGATGCCAGGCGGGCAGGTACGCCCCAGTCACCAGTGGAGGGGGACAAAGGTCCCTGGAAGGCGCTACTGGTTGCTGGGTTCTAGCCCCGCAATGTCGCCTGTCGCCTGTCGCCTGCCCGTCGTTGTCGTCTGTCGCCTTGCGCCTGCCCCCCCTCCCCCCCCCCACCCTGAAGCACCCTCATCATTCTGCCTTGTCTGTTCGCGAGACTGAGCCGACTCGGGCAGCGCCAGATGGACGGCACGAGAGCTTCCAGTCTCCAGTTCCCAGTCCCCAGTCCGCTACTGGTCCACTGAAAACTCAGCGTTGGCTGGGCTGAGGTCAGATACCTGGCCTCGTTCCGCCCGGCTCGTCTCATTGCGACATGCATCCCCCTTCCCGGCTTACGTACAGTACAGGCTGGTACGGCAGGCTGAACGAGGGTCATTGATCCGTCACGATCCGAATTCCTACATGTGGCACTCTTTCACCGAGTTCCGTGCATGGCCGCAACACGATATCCTCAAAACGACGACGAGGACATCATCGTGAACAGTCTCTCACCAATGAGCAAGACAGACTCTGGTTCTATTTTGGTCCACTGGCTCCTTCATTTGCCAGACAATGCGCAGGTCTTACCCCGTTGCGCAAACCTCCATGTTGTACCGGGGCAGTGTATCAGAAGGCCAGACAACAGCGTGATTGGCCCCAACACCTCCCGCTACCTAGGGGGGCTCAAGATCGCCCTGGCTTCACGTCGCTCCATTCTTACTAAGGTCTGCGGCACCGCCTGTCAGGGGCGCGCTGTAACCTTGGTACATGTAGGGGCTGGCACGGCCTAGGATAGCATCCGTTCCGTCGATGCGACGTTCTCTGACGTCGGCTCGCCACGAGAGCCGGCTGCGGTTGTCATGCGTCTAGGCTGTTGAGGATTTCTATCATATGCTTTCGCACATCTACCTACGCAAGCGCCATGTCATCCCATGTCGGCAAAAATATCTTTCTTGACGCCGAAGACTCCTTCCACCAGCGTCCGGGTCGTATTGACGGGGGCTGCCAATGTCCTCGCAACCCGCAGAGGGGCCGATGATTCTCCATTCGGGCTTGGCGGGATGCCTCCGAAAGCCCTAGGGGTTGGTTTCTCCATTAAACGTCGGCCCAAGATGTTGGCACGGCACACGGGGCCGGATTGCGCCGCTCTTCACGGCAGGGTCAGTGACTGCACGATTCAGTATTGCGATCCTCTGGGGCGGTGAGACCGCCAACACTGAGCAGACAATTCATCAGGCGACCCCGTTCGCTACGTGGAGTCAGCATTGGCGGCCTCTCTGACGGGACTGCTAAAGATCGGCACCCGTCGTGGCGCCCTCATCATCAACTCGGTGACTTCCCATGAGGCGCGAATACGCGGCAAGCCCAAGCCTGATACCTATCACTAGATGATGAGGTATGCGGTTAATGCCCACAGGTTGCCTTGGTGGAGAGCGCACCCCGTTCTCGCCTCCAAGCTGCATTGGTTCCTGCAGCGGAAGACCTGTTAGCGCCGAGGCGCCGCGTCGATCCGGTATGATGTACAGCGGCTGCGGCTGGCTCATCGCTACCCAACTGAGCTGCATTATTCTGGAGTTGGTCAGACTGGGGAGAAGATCCTTCACTGGCCACACCACATGGCAAGCAATGGCTCAGCGAAATGGTTAGGTTGGGCGACTGGGGGTGAGAGACGGTGGAGAAACGATTGCCGACCACAAGGCAGCCGGGCAAAGAAATTGCGGTATCATTGATTCACCAGATCAGTGCTGCAGCTTGTGGCTGGTGACCGCCGTGAGTGCGGGGCTTCACAAGTATCCAGCTCGGACCAAGGAGGTCGGCAGCATTCCTCTGGCATTGTATTGACTACGCTTCAGAAAGGCACCCTGAGGCTTAATCAGAAGCAGCCGCTTCCGTTCGCAACAAAAATGCAGAGCGTGCTATTTCCGGGTTCTTAGTGTAGAATATGCCAGGGCGCAAATACCACTGTAACCCAACCCCCGGGCCAGAGAGCTGATGACGTGCAGACTCAATGTCCAACGTCTCACCGCCTTCCATTCCGAGCACCACTTGACCCGTCATTGACTGCACGCCTCCTCGACTTTGCTCTGGCTGCGATTTGACACAGCATACCCTGCGGCTAGAGAGTGCAAGCAGCCCAGCGCACCAAAGCCAAAAATGCCGAAGCCGTTAAATTGGAGATTATGGACAAAGATGGCCGTCGGGTGAGTTTCTGTGTCTCCAGTTCGATCGCTTGCATGACTGACCATTTCTTTCGCAGCGGCGGCGTCTGCGTGATCGGCGGACCAGCCTTGACGATGTGGCTCACGCCCACTGAGGATGAGCTTTTCAAACGATACAATCCAGATTTACAGAAACGCAGTTTGGAGAGGAGAGAGCAGACGCAGCAGGAGTTTGATCAGTACGTGGGGAAGCTGAAGGAGCTGTCCAAGTCCAATAAACCACGTAAGTCGAATGAACTCCAACAATACCCGACAAGCTTTTACAGAATCTGATGGCATGTAGTTTGGACGGCTTGGGAAGACGAAATCAAGGCGAAGAAGGAGACGGATAGGCAAGCGCACCAAACGAAAGCGAACGAGCTTGCGCTGCAACAAGAGGCTATCAGGAGAGAGGCGGGAGTTTCCAAATGAGCAATTCAGGGGCTTCTGAAGAAACACATGGCGAGTTATGATTTTCTGTACGATGTGTGTAACACTATTGGGATCATGCTTCATAAGGGTCATTCGAGTACGGACCTCTAGGGTGGAATGAACATTGTCGTTAATGGACATACGCTAGACCTTTGTGATGACCATGACACTGCCGATGCTGTTAGTGTCTAGACTCACCAATGAGGGTCATGGATATGAGTCCTGTCGTTGGGAGGGCTTTCTATTTCAATCAACCTTGAATGTGAGTATATGGGAAACCCCTGCATTGGCAGGCTGAGTTACGCATCACAGACCCTCGTGTCGTTCAACATGATAAGCATGCAATATTCATGTAGCCTTCTAAGCCACTGAATACACAGACAACTTCTCGCGAACACTATTCCAATATCAAGGCGGCTGGTCAGTGAATAGATGTCAAGACACAAGACCACTCTCGGTGTGGGTCCAGAGCCCCGGTGGCCAATGCGGGGTGAATCGGTGAGCTGCCGGAGAGGACGTCGGACATTAGTAATTCCTCAAGCGAAGAATTCTTGGCGGCGCACAAAAACCATCTTCCCCAATAGCCATCATCATCAGGTCAGCCTCGCGACGTAAAACGGATCAGACGAATTGAGGTGAGTGACGCAGGAGGGCCCTTACGCAGCAGTCACGATCTTGTGAAGCCGAAAATGCTTTTTATCCGACTCGAAAATGGCTAATGCGTCCGATGCGTAGCTCACAGCCCTGTACACCGAATTATCCCACCGCAAACCTCGGGTCCCTTTCGATTCAATATGGCCGACATTCAGGAACGCCTCAAGAAGCTCGGCGCTGTTGCGCGGACTGGTACGTCCAATTCTGCATGAAGCTACAATTATTCTCAGAGGGTGCAAACTAACATGTCTCGAATAGGGTACGTCTCTATATAATCTCCGACCGCGCGTTTTCGAGGAACGAGTCGAGCACCGAACGCTAACCGACGTCTTCATACAGTGGCAAGGGCACCCCCCGAAGGACGCAGAAGCGTGGTGTTGCCGGCCGCTCCGCCGGTGACGACAAGAAGCTCCAGGCTTCCCTGAAGAAGCTCAACGTCCAGCCCATCCAGGCTATCGAGGAGGTCAACATGTTCAAGTCTGACGGCAACGTCATCCACTTCGCCGCGCCCAAGGGTATGTGCCATTCTTTGGTGGATTGGGAAGATGCAAGGGTGGCAATCTAACATGGTAATCGCAGTCCACGCCGCCGTTCCCGCCAACACCTTCGCCGTCTACGGCAACGGTGAGGACAAGGAGCTCACCGAGCTCGTCCCTGGCATCCTCAACCAGCTCGGCCCCGACTCCCTTGCCTCCCTCCGCAAGCTCGCCGAGAGCTACCAGAACATGCAGAAGGGCGAGAAGGACGGCGATGAGGACGACATCCCCGACCTCGTCGAGGGAGAGAACTTTGAGAGCAAGGTCGAGTAAGGCCGGCTCTTGTCTGACACCGAGCTTGCGATCGAATTTCTGTTGCGACGGCATGGGGGACTCAATGGGCTTAGGCAATTCAGCTACTAAACCGGCGGATGAAGGGAGGGGAAGGTACACCCCTTTTGCAATATGAACCTGGCATTACGACACTGTCGTCGAAGCGAGTCCGAACTACTTGGTCGTGAAATGGCGCTGGATCGGGATGCGCGGCGTATGGCACATCAGGCACCGAGGTTGGCCGGCCCAGCTCCATAGCTGATGTACGAAAATGGGATACAACGGCTTGGAAGCAAACTTGTCTTGTGATTATGGTGCATGCTGAGGGATGCAAATGGCGCTGTTGCTACTGGCTATCTAGGGCAAAGCTATCATCGCCTGTGTTTTCTGCCCATCCGGTCAGGGACTCGCTCCTGACCTGATCAACGACGGTACGACGGGGAAGTGAGAGCTCTCCAGCCTTGATATCTGCGTATGATGTTGCCGAGAGGGAGGCCCGCAGGTCACGCTCAGTCGAGTGTAGCAACGACGCAGTTTCACGAGCCAGCGTCCACATCTGCCTCCGAGAGGTAGAGCTGGCACCTTTGATGTCGAACGCCCGTCTTCCTTGCAGAACACCCCCGATGAGCCCCTCATTCAGCCCATTGGCGTTCCACGCCGCCGCCAGGTTGCTCGCACCAACCGTCCCCGACTTGGCTTCCACAGCTCTTTTGGAGTTTTCGAACTCGCGTGCTGTGGTCTCGACATGGAACGGGTGAAATGCATACCCGCCCGCCCACGTCTTGTCCTTCAGGGCAGACATTCGTCCCTCCGACGAAAAGCTACGCTGGCATCCAGTGACGGAATGCTGCGACTGGGGCAAGACAACGACATCAATGTATGCGTTCCCTGGATGGATGAAAAGCGCTGTGAGGGATGACAGGATCGAGGTGCACTGCCGTATTGCCATCTTATCAGAACAAGACTTGGACAGCGTGGGCGGTGCATCTGCCCTTGCGGGCTTGCGACGCACAATGCCTAGCTGAGAGAAGAAGCCGCGCCCGGGCATGGATGGATCAGCCGATGTGGTTGTCGCATCTTCGCCAGCTTCCACTGGCGCATCCCATGGCGATGCGTCCTCTTGCGTCGCCATGGTGAGCTCCATGCTCGCGTCGCCACAGGGGGCCTCCGAACAGTACATGTAGAGACGAACGTCGTCCGCAATCGCAAAAGGCTGCCCTTCCCAGTCCTGGGTGCCTTGAGGGTTGTACGGCCCCCGTTGTTCATCAGTGCGGTAGCGAAGGATTCCCAGCTCACTAGATTTGTTGAGCAACATTTGATGACACGCCGATAGGAGAAAACGATTGAAGGCCCGCAAGACCAGAATCTCAGCGTGCCAGTCATGCAGTCCAATGCCGTTTGCCTGGGGAATTTTCGAAGCCGGTAGACACTTCATACCTGTACTGCAGAAATCATCATCAGCACATGGAGGAAAGTCATGACACTCGTGGGCAATTCATTGCATATGAAGGCATTCTGACAACTCCATCGAGGCACGGCTGCTCTGGAGATACAATCATGTACTCCGTGAGAAATGTCCCGCCAGTGAGTGTTGATCCATGAGATGCTGGTGAGATACATTCAAAGACCACCGGGTCGAACTCACGCTACGGCCAAACATGTAAGTGTCCCATCTTGAGCGGCGACAATGCCACTCAGAGGCACCCATTCATGAACCCCATTGTCCCTTACTTGGGGCTTCCGTCTTGCGGGAAGCTGGCGGAACTTCTCGAACACAGCATCTGCGATGAGGTCGGGATCGACGACTGTCATTTGTCCGCCGGGTTGACCTAACAAAGGTAGTGACGAAATACCTACCCCAGCAGGAGGCCAAGTTGGGCGGGGTGTGACCAGGTGGTGGGCGGGTGAAAATCAAGCCACACTGGTTCAAAAAGCCCCACCGAGCCACGGCAAAGCTCTGTGGTCATGTGACCCGAGCGAACATGGAAGCGATGGCTCGGTGGGGCAAGGGCTATTCGACGCACGACTCACCTGTCGAAAAATTGCACCTGATCGTACTTACCCTCACAGACAAGCAAGTCAAGCGTTCGCATCAAATACCGCCAAAGTACGTGTTACCCGTTACAACGCCCAGCAGTCTTCCACAGTTTCCCTGGTGTGCAAACCAGCTGGCCGAAGCCGCAGACTGCACCCGAAAACCAGCGACCGAAATTGCACATCGCCACTCCGAGTTTCGAGCTGACATTCAATCTCTCAAGATGCGCACGTACGACGACTCCTTCTCGGGCCAGAGAATCTACCCTGGAAAGGTACGACACGCGAGACTCCTCCCTTGCCTTCTTTCTAGACGACCCCAATGCGAGATGGACGAGGGCCTGTTCGAGCCTAGGGCTGCCCAGATGTGGGAGACAAGATATCGAGGAGGGGTCTGATGGAAAAGAGGGATCACGATTTTGCTTCGATTTGCTTCGATTTTGCTTCATACTCTTTGAGTGATCCAGGACTAACCAGGCTGTGAAACTTGTAGGGTAAGCTCTACGTCCGCGGTGACTCCAAGACTTTCCGTTTCCAGAACAGCAAGTCCGAGTCCCTGTTCCTCCAGCGCAAGAACCCCCGCCGCATTGCCTGGACCGTCCTCTACCGTCGCCAGCACCGCAAGGGTATCTCTGAGGTACGTTGTCCCGCCCTGCCAGCGGAAAGCGGCAGCATCGCCTGCCGGCCGCAACGCAAACACCACGCCTCCTATCAGCCTACTGACCCCTCCGCCACAGGAAGTCGCCAAGAAGCGCACCCGCCGCACCGTCAAGGCCCAGCGTGCCATCGTCGGTGCCTCTCTCGATGTGATCAAGGAGAAGCGCAGCCAGCGTCCCGAGGCTCGCTCCGCCGCCCGCGCGGCGGCCATCAAGGAGAGCAAGGAGAAGAAGCAGGCCGACGCCGCGGCGAAGAAGGCCGACAAGGCCAAGAACGCCGGCCTCGCCTCCAAGGGCCAGACCAGCCGCATCTCGAGCAAGCAGGGCTCCAAGGGCGCGCAGGCCAAGGTCCAGGCCAACACCCGCTAAATGCTTTTTCGGAGTAGGGTTTTGAGTCACGGATTGTGGAAGCTGGAATGGTAATTCCGGGCGGAGGAGGGGCTGGGACGGGCGCCGTGGACAGATGAAAAACGGGCAGAGGATTCAATCCCCCAAGCCCACCCCCCGGATGGAACTTGACGAAAGGCAGGAGTCGAGGTTCTTTGTGTCTTACACGGCTGGTTCTCTACACACATCTCGGTAGCACGGAATTGCATGAAAGTCCCACGGGATAAATCAAAGACACATCAGGGTGTGACTGACGTGAGTGAGGCTGTCCGGACAGTGCATCACCATGTCCAGAGGTGCACATTCGAGCGACGTATGTTCCACGAAAAGGAGACTTGTCAAATTGTTTCGAGCCTTACTCGCTTTGCTCAACGAGAAAGAACAATTGCGAATTTGCCGCATTCGGGCAAGCAGGTGGTAGTTCGAGCAGTCAACCATCAATGATCTATGTCTGTCTGTCTGTCTATCTTGTATCCCATTACTTCGTAATCATCATCAAACCCCTCAGAGCTTCGACAAGACGCCCTCGGCGCCCGTTAGCGCAATGCTGCCCTTCTCCGTCTCCAGCTCAGAGTACGTGACCTTGCCGTGGTCGACGACGAGGGCGTAGCGCGCCGTGCGCTCGCCCAGGGTCCAGCCGATGCTCTGGGAGAAGGCGGCGCCGGCGTCCGAGGCGAAGAGGATGTACTCGTCCTTGACGCCGTTGGCCTTGCCCCAGGCGCTCATGACAAAGGCGTCGTTGTAGGCGATGAAGACGACCTGGTCGACGCCCTTGGCCTTGAGGGCGTCGAGGTTGGCGAGGTACGAGGGGACGTGGGCGGCGGAGCAGGTCGGGGTGAAGGCGCCGGGGACGGCGACGAGGACGACCTTCTTGTTGGCGAATTCTGCTTCGTGTCAGATGGGAGCTTCTCACTACGCGTTGAGGGGCTGTGTGCGGGGTCGCACAGGAGGGGCTCTCTCACCCTTGCTGGCGTCGTAGTTGACGGGAATACCGCAGGCGGTGAACTCGGACGTCTCAGGCTGGACGGGGACGTAGGAGAAGATAACCCCCTCAGGGAACGAGTCGCCGACCTTGAGAGACATGCTGAAGATTGTGTGGGAAACCTTGGTGGTTGTCGGTTATGAGGGTGGGTTTGCTGGTGGGTGTATGAGGCGAGAGGCGGACTGGGCGATAAAGTCTCGTGGAGGATGAGTCGTGGTGTTTTATGGTGAACGAGTGCTCAATCGAGATCCTGCCCCGAGCCCAACGAGTCAATTGAGGCAGGAGTATGCCGAGCTGGCCACAAGGGTTCTACGAGCTTCCGCGGTAAGTGGATCTCGCGACTCTGGCGAGTACGGGGCCTGTCCCCCAGACGCCGGACAGCCAAATAAGTCGAGCAGCTGCAGGCTACCTTAGATCGGCGGTATTTGGAATTAGTTCAGTCAAGGGCCAGGACACAGGGCCCAACAGGCACGTCAGGCCATTCGCTGCTGGATCATCCGGCAGAACCCTTCACGACTCGACGCATGCCGGGCCCCGCATCGATGGCGATATTGCGGTGTTAAATGGTGAGGCGCCCGCCGTACCTCCGATGGCCGGAGGACGGAGGTGACCGAGGAGCCCCTCGCTGCTCCGAGCCGAGGCGGCGACGGTGGGATGCAGGACGTCGACGCAGAGACAGCGATCGTTGCCAGATGGCCATGTCGAGATGAATCAGCCTGGGTTTTGGATTTCTTCGGGATTTGAGTGTCGATGTTGAACTTCATGTTGAGTCACCGAGGCCGGCCTCTGCGGGATTCCACGCCCTTACTACGACACCGTTGCTGACTGAGACTACACGGGAGCCCGATGTTGCATCACAATGTCACAACTCCTTCCCCTCTTTCTCACGCGAGTACAAATAACTGGCAATTTTCCCATTTCATACGTGACATACCACAAAAAGATAGCGTTCCAAAATGTCTACCGAAACAAAACCGCCATGCCCCCCCTTCACCGCCGAAACGGCGCAAATCAAAGTCAAGTCTGCGCAGGATGCATGGAATACGAAGTCAGAACATCCACCTCTGCTTTTAGTCTCACTCGACATAATCCAAGACATGGCTAATACTTTGCCTCAGGAACCCTGAGACAGTCAAGATGGCATACACACCTGACTCAGTCTGGCGGAACAGGGACGTCTTCCTTCGCGGCCGCGACGAGATTGTGAAGTTCCTGAGCGAGAAGTGGTCGCGCGAAGATGGCTACAGCTTGCGCAAGGAACTATTTGCCTTTTCTGACAACAAGGTAGAGCCAGCTTTTCATCTCGTCGACTTGCACGCTTGACTAATGCCTGAGGATCGCTAGATTGCCGTACAATTTTGGTACGAATGGCACGACGAGAGCGGCCAGTGGTGGCGTACTTACGGACTCGAGGACTGGACCTTTGCAGACAATGGCCTGATGCGGAAGCGGCAAATGAGCGGCAATGATGTCAGAATCAACCAAGACGCGAGGTGGTTCAAGGAAGGCGTCGACGTCAACTCGGTGTCCATTGGCGAGGAGCACTGGTGAGGTTGAGGAGGCGAGTAGCATGCGGTACGATGACGGCTGTCTCAGAGCCGTCAGCGAGTGCTCTGGAGCTGAACTGTAGAGATGGGAGCCTTATTCATGGGGTTTATTGAGGCCCATAATTGCCTGGGCTTGTTCTGCCGCTACCAAACATGTCACCACCCCCTCTTCCCGTCCCTGGACTTCGAATATACGGTCAATGAATCCAATAATAATGATAATACAAAATTGCAGTATGAATTCAATCCTCGAAACCCAGTGTTATGAATCGTGACACAATGAGACATCTCGGATCAATGCTCGAGCAAATCCGCAAAGAGCCAAACCCCGCCTTAAACAATAGCTACTTCCCCACTGCTGGCCACCCTGCGACATTCCAGAAATCTGCTTCAACGGGGACCAACACGCTACCAAGGCCCTTGCAACTTCCATGGAAGACTTGATTCATTATGCCTCGCCTGGCCTCCATTCTGCCTGCTGTTTCCTTTCATTTCAATGAATTTCTTGCGCTCCAGGCTACTCTTGTCTTCAAGTCGACTTGAGCATATCATGACATCCTCAGGTTTGGGCCTTGCCTTGTCAAGCGATACCAACCCTTTCACGAGCAGCGAGCTCCAATTTAGAGGCAACACGGCCGCCGCTGTAGCTGGCCCTGCTTCTCAAGCTGCTTCGGGGGATACCGAGCCGTTTCGTCTGACGACCATCGGCTCAGAGCCGATGACGCTTCAGCCTCTGACTCTCGCAAAGTCACCTCCGAGCCTTGTCAAGCGACTGTCAGAATCATTCTGGAGCCGGGCATCCACGGCACTCGGTTCGATCTCCTTCGACTACTCACCGGTTGACGGGACTGGCAGTGCCCGCCGGCACCGGGTGGTCCTTGGCGCTTCTTCGAATATGAATGGAGGGCGTTCAGTCAACAAATTCGCCATTGCACAATCGAGCAAGTGTGTGGGATTTACCATACAATCAACCAATTCTCCGGGACCTCACGACGTTGATCTTCACTTTCGGCTGTTCTTCGATCCAGGCACGGATCGCATGGTCATCTTCAACTTGGCCACCAAGCAAATGACGGCGAGGAGTATTTGCGACATAGCCAGCAACATGAAAATCGAGTTGGAACCCTACTCACCCACCATGTTGGACGCTGGGTCATGGGCGATCTTCACTCCCTCTGGGCGGCACGCTCTAGACTTTTCAATCCTTCCACGTAGGCATGTCGTCATATCGAAGGCACCTATCCAGGATCTGGCACCGCGAGCAGTCTCTTCGAAGCGGCCGTTGGAAATATCCCAACCCCTCGATTTGGCCAAGAGGGGGAAGTATGATGACGACAAGCAAGCGGAGGAGGGTATCGTAAGGAGCACAGTGATTGTTTTCCAGTCTGTGCCATTGGCACCTTTGACAGACGTTTCTGCCTCCACAACTGGTCAAGGCCACGATGTCCCCCTTGTTGCTCATCCGTTAGAGCAGCTCAGGATGGGAGACAAGGCTGACATCATTGGCCTCGGCGGCGAAGAGTATGTGTTGACTCGAGAGGCCAATATCATGACGACCAGAAACACGCAAGTCTTCCAGGCCCAGCATTCGCAGCTACCTGGAGACATGGCTGTCGTGAAGGTGATTCGAACGCCGTCCCACGACATTCAACTGGGTGCATCAGACCCGAGCGCCATGAAGATTAGCAGAGCAGCGGAGATGTGGCTGAAGGAGTATAAAAATCACTCGAAATTGTCTCAGCATGTGAGTGCAAAATGTCAGAAGGAGGGCATACTATTTATGAGCTGACCTTTCTCTTGCTTCAACTGGGCAGACAACCGTCGTTCGTCTACACGAAGCTGACGCCAGGTTCCTCTCGCTGTACATGGAGCACGTCGATGCACCGGCACTGGCGAGTTGTCGTGGGCAAGATCCGAATCCGATGTGCACATTGAGCGAGGCCGACGCGCTGCGCGTGATGGCCGACATAACCACTGCACTCTTGTACATCCAGGAGCAGGGCATTGTGCACAATGACATCAAGCCTGCCAACATCCTCTACTCGCCGACCCGCGGTGCAGTTCTTATCGATTTCGGCCTATCATCGGAGCTTTCTAACAAGACAAGAATACACAATGGCGGGTCGCCATGGTATGTACCGCCCGACTACTTGACTACAGGAGAACGCGGGCCGTCGGGCGACGTGTTTGCACTGGGGGTGGTCATGTTGTTTCTTCTTCGTAAGCTGCCACTCCCGGAGCTGAGATCTCCTCGGCTCAACTGGATTATTGCCGACGTGAGGACGCCTGGCAGCGGAAGAGGAGAAGAGGTCCGTGAAGCCATGAGTCGATGGCAGGAGATTGTGAGAAAAGCCTCACAGCTTTTGGATATTCAGAAGTTAAAGCCAGACAGGTTGGTTCATGGGATGCTCGCCAACAATACGCGGATCAGAATTGGCGTGCGCGATTTGATCGATAGTTTATCTTGATACGCGAGAACCCCATCACCGTAGCTATAATAAGATAGACCCGGCATGCATCGTTGCGGATGTGAAAGCGTTGTGGGGGGATGTGAAGGTGGCATGGGCTCCAGCAAGACCAATGGAATGATGCGGACTTGAAAGGTACGAGAGTCCTCCCTTCCAGAGCTTGGTAAATGCTGTGGAGTAATCTCAGTCGGGCGATTTGAGGTCGTGCCAAGATAGCGGAGCGGATTAACCTTTAGTGAGTTCATATACTGATTATATAATCCGTTGATCCGTCGTCGTCAAGGGCGCCCCGAGCCTTGAGTTTGCCGCTTCCAACATCTTCCACCTAGCCTTCATCTACGAACCGACGAGCAACTCAAGCGACCCCCGAAATGGAGGGCAACCTCCCATCCCCAGATTATGCCTACGATATGGAGTGGAAGTGGCCTTGGGCCAAGTTCGAACTGCCTCCCAACGCGCTGTTCACCACACTCCAGGAACGATTCAACACTCGCCAGTGTCCTATCCAAGATCCCTATGCTTTTCACCAGGATGTCTGCGAATCTGCCGACTACTCTGCCACATTGGAAGAATTTTATACTCAGTTATCCGCGAGGAGGGATGAGCGAGTTCGCGAACTCAACGAGGCATGGGCGGACATTGCTTCCCTGCTCGCATGGTCATCCAACTGGAATTGCGCTGGGTGCGAGCAACAAACGCCCGGCGAAAGTTCCGAGAACGACGACGTAACCAGCCGATGGAGCAAGTTCTGCGACCTGTCTCGAACCATGTCGTTCGACTCCATGGTGCGGTTCTTCGACGGCTGGTGCAGGGACAGGCGCAGAATTGAGACCCAGCAGTACTTGGATCTCAAGAGAGATGTGCAGGCTTTTCGGGATCGGAAACCGATCAAGTTTCCAATCAACCGTGTTACAAGCGACGCCGTTAATTCCGAAGCAGCAACAACAAGGGACGGTCGACTATCGTCCACACCCGAAGCCTTTCGACCTGTGTCCCCGGAGTCAATAGTGTATAACATCAACAACGAGGGCAGGAAAGAGGGGGAGGTGGTGGAAAAGCAGAAGGAATCTTCTCAAACTACTACCGCCAAGGTCTCACGCGAACATTTCAAATCCGAAATAGGGCCTCTTGGACCTACCCAAGAGGAGAGCCGTCACGACAAATATGTGTCGAAAGCGCACCGCACCACGGCTGATGTCGATTACCCCGCACCCCGGAACTCGAAACGAGCCATCACTACACGAGAAGAACTACAAGAAGGAGATTCCACGGACGGCCAGGCTTTGCACAGCAAGAAGCGACGACGGATATCACAAGAGCATCATGATGGCTGCATCATGGGACGCTCTGGCGTCGAGAATCATCGGATGAGCAAGAAAACGTCTGGCGAAGTGCCAGATCAGCAGGCGGAAAGTCGAGACGTATGGGACAGGAGTCTGAGTCCAGAAACAGGGCATTAATGATTCTACATATCGCTAGTTCTCAACATTCCCTAAAGGCCCAAGAGTGGAGTTTTGAATGGCATCCATTACTTCAATGAACCCTTCCATGGTACCTAGGGTATGTATCATATGATAACCATACTTTTTCATATCCATACGAGCAATCCCTGTGTATGCTGACTGACCCGAAGACTTCTCAGTACGGGACGCTAACATGGCAGGTCCCGGCCGGCAAGACTGGCGCGATGATCATTGACTCAGCCTCCACGAGGTTACCACGACCCTTTGCTTGGTATTGCTGGCGGTATTTCCCCATTTCCCAGAAGAGTAGTACGCAAACAGATCGTGAGATCGTCCACGTGCCAGACATGGATTCTGGATCATACTCCATTCTGGCAATTTTCCATCGATCAACTTGAGCCCGCTTCCATCCCCAGGGCTTTGTGCTAGAATCGCCTGGCGCCCGAGTCTGCTTAGTTGGGTAACTGTCCCAGAACAGCCGTGAGGCTAGATTAGAGAGGGTAAAATGTAAAAAAAAGTAAGCAAACGCCTTCGAAGCCGAGAGATCAGTGCTGCGACCATGGCTGCAAGAGGGAGCGAAGTGTGATGTGACGCCCATTCCTGGTTGCAGCCCAGCAAGCCTTCAGCAAGTGATATCTTGGGCAAATTAACGCCACACCCCCTCACCCATCCCCCCTGGGCGGGAGGGGTGGCAGCGCATGGGCCACTGCGATTGCGATCTCAACAGCGGTCATCAGCCGAGCCAGGGATGACCATCGGGACGTTGAGGACACCAATGGGAAAACGGGATGCAGCAGGGGCACACAAGATCTGCCCGGCACGAAGCGCATCCGGTTGATGAGTTTCTTGGGTTTTGGGGACTGGCTGTCGCTTGTCGGTCTCCTGGGGTCGCTGCCGGAGCATGCAAACACAATTTTGGAACGCAACAAGTTGAAAAGCATGGGAAGGCGATAACGTGTTTTCAGATGGAAGCAACGGCCTGCCAGGCGGGCCTCGCGTCGATCGGCCAGCGCACCGAACATAGCGGCCGTGCACGGACGATCCAGAGTTCTTGTGTTCTGTGTATGGCGGAGACTTAGAGACTAGTACAGTAGCTGCTGTTCAGCGCTCGAGTGAGGCCGCCTTCCTTGCAAGGCTTGCCAAGATGACAGAACAGGTGGGCGCGAGAAATCTCAGACAAAGCAGAGCGACGTGACAGCGGCAGAGTACGCTAGAAGCAGAAGACCACGGGGGTGCGGGGATATTTGGCCAGCTGGTCGCTCGTCATTTTGTAATTTTCTTTTTTCTGCTCGTTCGTACCGGCCACCTTGTCCTCGAGGCATTGTAATTCTCTTGCGCAATGCAGTCAATCAGTGCCCATAGCTGACCCAAGACGGAAACGGCCGCGATAATTTCCTGCGAGCTAAGGCATACGACAGAAGCAAGCTTGCCCTCGAGGAATGGCCGGATTACCCGAAGGAGAGAAGAGTATTGTGTTGGACCGTTGGTTGCGCAATGCCTGCTGCATTAGAAGAAGAAGAAGAAAACGAGGCGCGCTGAGCACCCCTGAACATTGTTTCAGATGAAGATGCGAGTCCACTCCAGATGCTG